TGGTTAGAATCCAGGAGCTATAATAAAGCTAGTAATGGTTATATATCTCCGACTAGTCACCTACCGAGTCTCATATACCGACTGAACTATTCGCCTCGTCCAATGCCTCTATAATTTGTCGATAGAATGTGAGGAAGCAGACTTTAGTTTGCTTACTCACATTCTTTTCCCACTCAACCTGCATAGAACAGCCCTTCCCCCACTCAGCCTGCATAGAACGGTCCTTCCCCCACTCAACCTGCATAGAACAGCCCTTCCCCCACTCAACCTGCATAAAACAGTCCTTCCCCCACTCAACCTGCATTGAACAGCCCTTCCCCCACTCCACCTCCATAGAACAGCCCTTTCCCCCCTCAACCTGCATAGACCCGCCCTCCCCCCACTCAGCCTGCATAGAACAGCCCTTCCCCCACTCAACCTGCATAGAACAGCCCTTTTCCCAGTACAGTGCTTTCAGTTCTGCGATGTTGTCTTTGATTAAGTCTGATATTTTTTCTTTTGTATCTTCTTCTTCTTCTGTCAACATACATTCCTCCTAGTAGAATATCACATACTGCGGTATGTACATCCTCGGTGTGAGGAAGTTTTGTGCTCTATTTACATCGGTAATTAAAAAGGGGGTCCTCTAGCGCAGTTGTACCTGTTGGACACCTATTTTGAAGCTGTTCGGCGTGGCGCTGTCCACGAGCTCCTGTGGTAGTTGGTTCCATAACTTAATGGTGTCGGGGAAGAAAGAGTGCTGGTATACCTGGGTTCTAGTGAAGGGTGCCATGAATGTCCAGGCATGTCCTTTGCTGGATGATTGTACCGGCTGTAGCTGTGCAGCTGGTATATCAACAAGATGGTGAACTATCCGGTACATCAAGATTCCCTTACAGCGTGCTCTCATTTACGACAGTAATGGCCACTGCAGCTCCTGGAGTAATGATATGACACTGGTGTATTTGGAGTAGTCATTATACACAAAGCGGACCGATCTCCTTTTCACTGCCTCCAGCTTGCTGATGTTTTCCTGGGTGGCCGGGTCCACACTGTGCATGCATACTCCACCAGGGGGCGAATAAGAGCTGGAAGAAAAGTGTTTTGGTGGTCCTTGGGCACTGTCTGATGTTACGCTGGAGGAAGGCTCTGGTGCCATTTGCCTTTTTCGCAATGCTGTTGATGTGCGGATTTCAGCTTAGTCCCTTGTGTAGTGTGACCCCTAGATATTTCGCTGTGTCAATCTCTTCAAGTAGATGTCCGTGGATGTTGTAATCGGATCGAGGTGTCTGGCGTTTTGATGTTATTCGCATGAGCTGGCATTTCTGAGGGTGAAACTCCATGAGCCACTCTTCCTCCTATTTCTGCAGTCATTCCAGGTTCTGTTGTAGTGTCCTTGTGTCATCTATTGTCCGCACACGCCTGTACAGGAGGCAGTCGTCAGCGAAAAGCCGTTCTGTAGACGAAAACACATACTCTGGGAGGTCGTTGATAGATAAGAGGAACATCAGTGGGCCGGGAACACTTCCCTGGGGGACACCGGAAATGACTGGTGCTGTGCTCGAGGCCACTCCATCCAGGACTACCCTCTGGTTACAGTCTTTCAGGAAGTCACGTATCCATGCCAGTGTGGATCCTCGTATCCCATATTGCTGTATTTTATAAAGTAATATATCGTAGGGGACTTTGTCGAATGCCTTGGAGATGCCCCTTGTCTATGTTCTTCGCGGTTTGGCTGTTAGATCAAAAGATGTATAAATTTGCTGCACTTAAAATAATTGAAATGTTATAAAAATAAAAAAATAAACAGGAATAAAGAGAAACATAGTGATTACCAGATTAGTCTTATGCGGAATGAACACCACTTTTGTCGTATCAATAAGAGCATCCTAGCCTGTTGAAATTAAGTTTAATTTATTCATTTGAATTTTTGCTAGCTTATCAATGATTTTTCGAACTAATTAACTTTTAAAAAATATACCATTGATATTTACATTTCCCCATATTTTTTTTGGAAATCTGTACTGCTAAAAAAAATCGGTAAATAAAGTGTCAAAAACGGATGCATGCAGAGTGCTTGGGAATTTATGTCTAAAACTTTAGTAATCTGACGTTCCAATGTCTTTGTCCCGAACAACGAAATTAAAATATTTGTATTTGACTTGAATGGTTTATGTTACTTTATCCGTAATTTCCTATTTTCACATTAGTGTTGCCATTACTGTGTGAGGATCTCATCTAACCTTTAATTTCTTTTACTTTAAGCAAAAGGGTAAAATACCGCGAAAGAATCACGTGATTACAAGTTTTGCAACGCAAACCTATACAAAACGGTCGAAATATTTCCTCTGTTGGATTCCCAGGTGGTGACCATATTTTCTGGCGATGATTATTGGCTTCTAATATGAAATCTTCTCCCTCACCATGGCTGGGACGGCCTGATTCACTACAATGATTCGGATGTGGATGTGAAAATTCGAATGCATTCTGGCATCATCACACGAGCACCGCACCTCTAATAGGGATCTCTTGGTAGTGAGTCATATTCAGCGCATGGACAAGAGGACCAAATTTAACTCTGCTGACCAGTAGTAAGTCAGGATTATACCTGCGAACAGCAATACGACAGAGGTACAATGCCAATTAGTATGTAAAAGTCACTTCATATATATAAACAAAACACTGGGATTATTTTTTGATATTTTGACTCTTAGGTATAAAATCCATTGACACTAAGATTGATCTGCCGATATTTACAAACTACAAGAGTTTAAAATAATTGCATATGGAAAGAAAATTGTGAAATACTCAGCATCTAGCTAGATATGTGGTGGTCTGTGGCCATTTAACATGCTGCCTGTGCTTTTACAGATTTCCAACCTAATAACATAGTCAAACCTTTCAAAAACAAACATCCCACAAAAGTTCAAATCATGCTCTGACGTTCATTTCAAGATGGCCTGAATATATATTCCATATTTGCGAGGTGACCCGATATCAAGAACTTTACCCTTGTGGCAAACTTCTGGCGATGTTTCTCATCCTCGAGTTTAGCGTCAAAACATTGATTAAACAATTTACAGACAAATGTATTTTCCATATGCGTCCACTTCCAATTACAAATGGAGAACCATCACAGGCGACAATAGTCCAGGAACGAGTTTTGCATGTTTGATCAATGACATGGTCAAAGACTTGCTCAACAGCTGCACAAGAACAGTGGATCACCATTTATGGTTACCTGTAGCCTTGCCTACTTCCAAAGTAGCAGCTAAACAAACAATATGGATCAAATGTTTTAGATGAAAGTTCAACATGTAAGGGTTTTCAGCTTATCTTTTCTCAATAAAATCAACATTTTTGTTTGGAAACAACGGCATTTTCTATTTCTAAAAACATGCAACGAATTCTTTCTGCTACAAAAGGCTTCCTATGATTTCTGAATGTATCATTACAACGTTGAAAAAAATGACATTTACGCGTCCTAAAATGTTATCTGGTGGAGAAGAATACAACCAAGAAGATGGAATAAGTTCAGGTTTATTATGTTGCAAATTACTTTCCGATGTAGGCAAAATGTGAATGAAGTTGGAGATTATACTAATGATTGCTTGGGCATCATAATGCACACTCCAGTGTCCAGTGATTGTTTCCAAAACAGCTGCAATTCTGCAAATGTAGTCACAGTTAAAACGGTTGCCCTTGATTCTTCGAGTCACTACTATGTACCATAGTGATGAACAAGGGGAGGTAACTCCCACATCACTAACGTCACCAGTGACCAAGCTGGTAGAATGTCAGCGAAACTGTCTGGGTAAGAGACGTTAATATATGAGATTCGCCATCATAACAGAGTGTTTCCGATGATTGTGCACGTGCCGTATACATATGTTGCACGAGGAGAAATTAATTCCCTGTCCATTAAAGCAGTTAAACCTCTGCCATGATTTTTTTGGAGAAAATTTTATAAATGTGAAATGGTTTCCCTGAAGAAAACTCTTTGTAGCGTTTGCATCCACAAACCAAACAGGAGCCATGTTTCCAATCTGTAAGTTACAATATAACAATAACTATTTTTATCCTTTATATAAATTTTTGTGCAGGAAATTATTTGAATTTTTAGGCCAAAATTATTTTTATTTTTTCATGAAATTATTTAATAAGCTGCCATTATTTAATTTGCTCATTTAAATTATTTTGCTTTATTTCTTCCCCGTATAAATTCATAAATTCATAATCCATAATTCCAGAGGTATTAAGGATTTTGTTTTTGTGTATCAACTAGAAATGTACTAAGCATTTTTGTACATCAGCTAGAAATGTGGTTAATTGATGCATACAGTATATGCCATCATTGGGGGTTGCAGTTTACGGGAAAATTATCTAAACCCAAAAAACGTGTTAAATTACCCGAATAGTTTAGTTTAGGTCCAAATATAGATATAACAAATTATCAGGTACCTGTGATCTTTATCGAGTGGCGGATCCAGGGAGATTTTGTAGGCTTCAGGACCCCTCCAGTGGCGGATCCAGAAACCTATCTGGGGGGGTTTCCAAATTTCCTGGGGGGGGGTTTCCATGATGGAAAAAATTGAGGAAAATGGTGAAAATATATGATTTTAAAGAAAATTCTAAGGGGGGGGGGGGGGGGGGGGGGGGGCCCGACCCCCCCCCAAAAAAACCCGGGCCCCGCCACTGCCCCCACCCACTGAGAAAAAAATCCTTTAAAAAACATGTATTTTCACCTTTTCCTCAATTTCCACCCCCGATAGATAATCTAATTCCGTGATGTAATTAGGCCTAATTAAACGTTTAGGTAATGTATATACATGTATATACGTACATGTCATAATACAATTTTCCTGATTTTTAATTGGACAAATCAGACGTTGCGTCGTCAACTTAGGAGTGCAATATCCTTTATTCATAACCACAAAATCAGATTCTTAAAGTCTTGCAATACGAAAATGATGAAACCAACCATGTTCTTTGCGTCAAGGTCGAGGAGAGCTTCCTTCAGGATATCCTCGGTGACGTCATCACACTGGGCGTTGGGCGACGCGCTTACGTACACCCTTTTAAGTTATCTGAAACCTAACTGAATAAAAGAAGAAGCTAAAGCATTATACAAATTGGAAAAGTAAAAGTGTGATGCTGCTGCTGCTCGGCATTAGAGGGGTTTCCTAAAGTCAAAAGAAATCTATTTTTAGAACAACTATTACCAATAACGTGACGAAATACGCTTAGTGGGCATGCGCCAACCAAGTGACCCCCGTTTGGTGCTTAATAATTGTATAAATATGTAATGTAATTTGCAAACCGTTATACAACATAGCAGACGATCAAAGACGATACTTGATTGTTTTATTCCAATATTAACAATGCTTACTTCTCGCATGCTTGTTCGATGTGGTGCGGAGAACGCTTTGAAGAATGTGACTATTATTGCTCCCTCTCAGTCTGTGAAAGTGAAACAAGGATGTGTCGGTCACCTTCACCTGGCACCTGCTCGACCTACCCTTTGCTCTGCTACTGTAAGTACACTTTTTTATTTGTTCAATAATCGATTGCTTATCTTGATCTATTCAAAAAGTGATCCATAATATTGGGATCCGGGTCGTTACCGTTGTTTCTCCATATTATATTTTATATTATAAGCAGTCGGAATGAGAACAAGCCATATGTATATGGGGGTAATAGTAATAATTAAACAGTCTTGACTCCTTATTGTTGACATTTTACTAGTTACATTACTAGGATACACTTTAAATAGTTTCAAAACCAACTGTAATAAATAGCTTTTCAAAGAATAGCAAGATTTTTGCTTAATTTATATTACGAAATTAGTTCATCCACCCGGATTCGAACCCAGGACCCTCCAAAATCTAGATGGACACCTTTGTTGACGTCATACCATTAGTCTACGACTACTCTTTAACGCTTTACCAACTGATCCCTCAGTACACAGCTATAAAGTCTTGTTGACGTTGGTTAACCTCTGAAAAATCTAATTAACTGTATGAATACTAAAACAAGTTTTACGTTTTTTCTTGGCACGGCACTCAATCATCAGGAAAACTGTTCACCTCATTGCATCAAATAAATTGTTATATTTGAAGTCCATAAATAAAATAAAAACAACTCTTTTCTAATTGAAATGTTAATGGAAAGAGAAAGACTAGGGATTAAAACAATGGGGGAGGGGGTGCACGTGTCTGCAATGCACTGTTCAACATCCATATCTACAACAAACAATGTTACTACATATCTTGGTATCTTGATGATTTTATATAACGATCAGAAAATATTTCTATTATGTAACAGGTCAGAAATTATGCTGCCACCAAACAGGAAGTAGACGAGCATGTTAGGAAATACAAAGAAGGAAACTTCGACAAAATACCAGATCCTGAACGCTTAGAACATTTCAAGTAAGATTGTGTTTTGCAATTTGAGTTGTTTTCAAATCACCCTGCGTCCGTCGTCCGCCATCTGTCGTCCGTCCTTAAACAATTCTTGTTATCGGTATTTCTCAAGAAGTACCGAGGGATCTTTCTCAAATTTTTAATGTAGGTTCCCCTTGGTCCTTAGCTGTGCAGGGCAACTTTTGAGACTGATCGGATAAACAACATGGCCGACAGGCAGCCATCTTGGATTTTGATAGTGAAAGTTTGTTATAGCTATTTCTCAAGAAGTACTAGAGGGATCTTTCTCCAATTTTAAATGTAGGTTCCCCTTGATCTCTCGTTGTGTATGTTATATTTTGAGACTGATCATCAAAACAAAATGGATTAAAAGAAGAACTAAACAGATCTTTCTCATATTGCAATGATCGATTCTATTTCTTTCACATTAAGTACTATACTAGTAAATATGTGAAATGACAAACTCACTTCGAAGGTTGGCTTTCATACACATCAGTATTAAGTTTAGATCAAAAGTTACCTCAAGGTGCATTTACTGTTAACATGACTCGATCAAACAGATTAGAGGAAAGAAGAGAAAAGATCGAACTGACAAAGAACTAATGAAGATGGAACAAAGGTGGGCGCCAAAATCCCTCTGGGATCTCTTGTTTTTTCATGTTGCCGACAAGCCAACCAAATTTTTAATAGCCCAGAAAAAAAAGAAAAAAATGTTTCTTCCATGGTAGATTCTTAATTATGCATGCCAACCGTATATGTTTAGTGATATTAAAAAGCACTGTTAAAGTATGAAATCCCTGTTTCTATGTTTGTAGTGATACCATATGTTCAAAACATAAGATTTTGCCTGCCTGAGACACTGTTAAATCTTCAGGAGCCCAAAGTGTTAACACAGTAAATGTAATAATCTGGTCTTATGCTTTTTAAATATGCACTGATAACAATTAGGTTGTTCTTGTTGCTCTTTTTAAAATTTTGTATTCAAGCAATATATCTAAATTACCTAGCTATAAAATAATAAATGATCGACTGTTTTGTTAAGTGATGGGCTGATGATTGGTTATAATCGAAAAATAGATCGGTTTGCCCTTTCTGATTCCGATTATCGATTACAAATTCCATTATCGCTATAATCGGTTCTTTATAAAAATCAAAGCGTTAAATGTTTTCAGTGTGAAAAATGAATTGAAAGTCATATATTCTTATGATTTTACTATATGATTGATAAAACTGCATAAAAATTGCTTGAAATCCATTCATTATAAAAGAACAAAACACAGTGTATAGTTAACAACTCTGTCTATTGATGTTATGGTAGTGTTCTCACATTATTATGGTATTCAGTCCCATGAAATTACGAACGGATTATGCAATCTTCCGATTACAAACCAATTATCGATTATGACTTAAACTGATTAGGCGATTACCCATCATTACTGTTTTGGTTGATAAGAGTGAGGTTGACAAGGGAAGATAACTCAACCTTCTGTTGGTCCACTTTGGAAATACTTACTTTTTTATTACCACAACAGAACACACGAGGCACTGAAGACGGCATCATCCGCAACCGTAGCTACAGCTGCTGGGAAGGCGAAGGTGACAGGAAGTACGACGGATGTAACCAATGATTCCCCCCCGCCTGTCGGTACACATGCACTCCCGCACCCTATATGGTGAGCCGTGCTTTCTATTTTCTATGTAGATTTAAATCCTTTAGATCTAAGCTTTAATTGATTCACATACAAGTGAGGGGGGGGGGGGGGGCACTTTTTTCATATTCATTGAGGTTGACGTCAGTCACTTGCCGAAAGATGTGATGTTGACTGGCTGGTTATCACAGGGGGAGTGGGGAGGGTTGGGGGTTTGAAGTAGATGGAATAAGGGAAGGGGAAGTGTAAGTTCCGAATTAACTAGTCAAGGTGATCAGGGAATGGGCTAGTAGCTAAAAGGGAGATTTACAAGGTGCTGATTTGAGTTATCTTTAATTAACATTCCCCCACTTAATTTATCGTTGAGTTGAAGGTTTGAGGATACTTCTAAAGGACGCTACAAATGTAAATATACAATTATATGTATTTTTTATGCAGTTTCTGTTACATTACCCCACATTTTCTATCTTTGACCTCATTTTTACACGTGGTCGAGTTGGTGTGACCCCGTCCGCTATTTCGACGTACAGATACACCTCGTCGCTCAAAGTTTTTCTCGGGCCGTGTTTACACGAACGACTAGACATAAGATTTTTCCCACTGCATTCGTTCAGATTTTTGTCTGCACTGTCGTTATTACTTCTTTGCCCATACAATTATTTGTACATGTATTATACATGGACACAAAATGTAAATTGGCTTTCAGAAAGAAACCTGATTCAATCATTATTATATATATAACTTAAACATTTAGTTATGAAGTTCTCTTCAAGTTGGTAAACATGATACTGAAGTAACAGTTTTTATTTCCTTATATTTAGGTCCAAGGACGAACTTGATAATGTGGTAGTTACACATAAACCACCATCAGGTGTTGTGGACAAGGTAAGGTGTACTATATAATTATAATAATAATAATATACAACGTTTGATATAGCGCCCTATCTAGCTAACATAAGCCACTCTAAAGTGCTTTACAGTACATAGATATACAATTAATACAATTAGGATATACCATTTTTGAGGAATTCGCAGGAGCTGCCTTATCAGGCGCTTACTACTAGTCCTATGCCACCTGGCTTATATCTCCCTTTGTGTGTATGCCTGTGTGTGTGCTGGAGATGTATTGTGTTATACATATATATAAGTATATAAGTCATACAAATGACAAATTTTTGATGTGTTATATGTAGGGCTGCAACAATAAGCAATTACCTCATGATGCAATATACATCACGATATGATACGGATCACTGTACGGATCACGATACAAATATCTGCTAAAAAGGTTAACTTCATGATGATTGAGTGCAGGTATGACTGCACAGCGGATCACATCTTTACTGAGGGTTAAAAATATAAGAATTAATACTTTGTTTGAGTTTGATAAAACTTGATTTATAATTGAAGTACTGTTAGTGTATTTGTGATACAGGCAAAGAAAACAATTCAATATGATACACAAGAAACTATCACGATACGATACGATATATCGTTGCAGCCTAGTTATGTTGGTGAGAATATATATATAATTTGTTAAATATCCTAATCACATGAAAATTGGCAAATTGTTCAATTATTGTAACTTAGAAAAGCTTGTGGATATTTAAAGGTGAAAAAAGAAAATGTAAATTATAAAACTTCATAATATACAAGGTTTCTCTTTTGTCGTGTGTAGTTATCCTGACAACCATTTTGTTTTGTAGATGGCCTTCTACAGTGTTAAACTGATGAGGAAGTCTTTTGACCTCTTGACCTTGTTCGACTTCGGAGAGAGAACAGAAAGAAAATGGGTTTTGTAAGTTATCTAGCTTTCGTATTTTAAATCATTTTACCAATGGTGTCTTTTCATCAAATTTCAAAGTACCCAGCTTCCATAGGCCAAAAAAAAACAATAAGAAAATATTCATTTGGTACCTAACCAAACCTTGTTTTACAGAAAAACACCCTAGCATAAACATAAAATTATGTAAAAAAATAAAAATGACTATTTTATAGGCCAGAACAATCCTTCAACCTGCTGGATTTCCTAGTCTGCTGCAATATTTTAAGAACCTTTTTTCACAAATATTGGTTCTTTATTAGAATTGAATTGACATTTATGTTTCTATTCTGCAGGCGAATCTGTTTCCTGGAGACAGTTGCCGGGGTGCCAGGTATGGTGGCTGCCATGACACGTCATCTTACCTCGCTACGGAGGCTGGAGAGAGATCACGGCTGGATCCACACGCTTCTAGGTATGTTAGGATTAACTAACTCGTGTAATGCAAATTATCATTAACTCACAAACGTGTAAAAAATGTTTTCTCAAAATTCCTTCTAAAGGGTTAGATATTTACTTATGAAATCAAGTCATGCATTTTATTTAAGGAGAGGGCAATGTTGGGGACACAGTAGTGTTTATTATATAAAAGATATCATGAGTGATATAAATTTATGTTTGATATCTTCTGAAAATCACTGTTTCTGTAATTGTTGAAAAGCAGGCAATTATTCTGAGTTCAACATATACAAGTAGGTAAACCCAATGGGCCTCTTCTTTTGTATTTTTTAAAATGAAATGTACATTAATGTATATATATTTATATTACACAGAGGAAGCAGAGAATGAAAGAATGCATCTGATGACAGCATTGCAGCTGCGACAACCTACAAGGTTATTTAGGGGATGTGTCATAGGAGCTCAAGGTCAGTAACAGGTCACATGAAGGTCATTTAGTGTAGACTGCAACTCTGATGCTACTCCATGTTTTTGTACAAGCTGAATGTCTCAAGGATAAGTTATAGTGCACTAGGCTTAAGCACAGCTAACTATTGTTCAACATAAGCATTTATATGAGCATAAAAATGGGCAGTGGTCAAGGTCATTGTTATAGGGGTAGTGGTCAAGGTCAGTGTAAAGATAGGGAGTGGTCAAGGACAAAATAAATTAAGGGATAGACAAAGATCATTGTAAAGATGGGTAGTGGTCAAGGTCATTGTTATCATCAATTGTGGTCAAGGTCAGTGTAAAGAAAGGGAGCGGTCAAGTCCTGTGTACAGATGAGATTTAATCAAGGTCACTGTGAAGATTAGGATAGGTCAAGGTCATTATGAAGAAGATAAAGTTCAAGATATTTAGTCAAATTGTATATATGAAAGTTGAATTTGAACTATCTTTAATTTTGCCAAGAGAACCACTGATCTTATGGTAAACGTTTTTATTTTGTTGCAGGTATATTTGTGACATTCTTTAGCTTTGCTTACATGCTAAGCCCCCGGTTCTGTCACAGATTTGTCGGATACTTGGAAGAGGAAGCAGTGATAACATACACCAAGTGTATCAAGGTCAGTCAGAGGTCATTACACTTTTCATAAAAGGTCATTGGTGACAGGTCTAAAAATACATCTAAGACACATTGTTGTGGCTTTGTAGAATTTTAGGTGCAATATTATTAAAACATTCTGAAAATTTGCTCCTGATCCTGGTTCAGCTGATTGCAGCGTAAAAAAATGTACGAAATATAAACCCAGCATGCTGCCCTTCTGATAGAAAGACAAGGAAGTATTACTGTCATTACATGGAGTTCTTACCTTATAAATATGTATCAGAAACAAAGTAAGGAAACTGACTGTTTGACCATAGTGTTGTGTCTGTGTTGCAGGATATCAAAGATGGGCCTATGAAACACTGGCAGACCCAGGAGGCTCCCGACTTGGCGATTCGCTACTGGAAACTTGATGTAAGTCAGCGTATCATACTTACTAGTAATTTATCTTTCTGTAACAGTAATTTTTTACATGTTTTTATTTCAGTTAGTTATTTTCGAGCTTGAATGTATACAATTATCGAATAGGTCTTGCACAACCGTTATTTGTATTCCAGGGTGTTGGGATATATCTCTATCCGACTTACTTTGAGTGTAGGAAAGAGACATCCCATGTAATTAACTCATTCTCTCCTACATGTTTAGACTAGACTTTGGCAGCAACAAATTGTGTCGGATTCTTAGCAAAGACTTAAAAGGACTTAGGCACCAGAAATTGTGATGGGCCTTTATGAAAATATTGAAATTCCATGTTAAATTTGTAAGTGTAAAGGTGAAAGAAATGACATTCAATGTTTTAATAAAGGAAACATTTATAACGTTTGCAGGAAAATGCTACAATGCTGGATGTCATTTTGGCCATAAGAGCTGACGAGGCCCATCATCGCGTGGTCAACCACACGTTGGCGTCACTGAAGGAGGACGACTACAACCCTTACAAACCTGGCAAGTGAGGGGCTGACTACAACCCTTACAAACCTGGCAAGTGAGCGACTGTACTCGATATACTACAGCCCCTGTTTGTAGTCTCTCTGCGGCCCTCGATAGAGTGGAATTGGAGCGCTCCAGGCCCAAAGTAACAGTCAGGAATTTTGTGACACAGTCCAGTTGTTATGACGTTTCTCTTCCAATGACTCGTGAAACCAAATTTCCACAAAGAAATTTTGTTCACAAATTTATGAACTTTTCTATGTACTTGTAACACTTTACAGTTCTTTAAGATGCAGCCACAGTAGATGGAAACGTTCTACATATCTTGGCATTAGGACATTTTGTTAAGGAGGAGATTTGTTATATCAGTTCTGACAGCTTTTCCTCGTGTACCTGGGTCCTGGGTGTATGATTTAATGTACACATGAGTACCTGTAGGATAAATCTGTCCAGAATACTGTATAGTTGTTTATTTCATGGGGCCGATACTTTGCGGATGCCCGACCAGAATTACTTCACAAGGATTAAATTTTGCATCACAAACTATTGCACTCAAGATTCTTTTGTATTTTGGGGATGTGATTTATTTCAAAGGTGTTTTATCAAAATAATGCAAAATACAATATTGAATTGTTTTGTCTCCATTATTCAGCAATAAAAGGGTAAACAGGTCTTTTCTTTATCTCCCTATTTTCATTGTATTAATATTCGCTGGGTATTTAATCTTTGTTGACTGCAAAATTAGAAAATTAGATAGATCCATTACAAAAATTAACTTTACAGTATTATAAATAATCATTTTTGTGCTTAAAATTTTGAATACAAATTTTCAGCTGCAAACTTATTTGCCATTTTTGCAATATGGGTCCAAACCCACACATTTACATTTCATTCAATGCCATTTAAAAAAACATAAGCCTACTGCTCATAGGTTAAACTTAAACTAGTAGTGAAAATTTACATTTAAACACGGGTAACTTGGTAATGACCAGTTCCATATTCTTGACTTTAATACGCTACTTTAACGGAAATAAGATACTTCATAGAATGCTGCCTTGTTTTATACACTGTTTTATGTAAATACTGCTTGTATTAAATATAAGTTATAGAAACAGCCCTGTATATATGCAAATGGATCAACATTTAATGCTTTGATGTCAGTTTCCTGTGGTACTTTCACGTTAAATCCTATAATTTTTTGTTGTATATATTGTTTGAGTTACTAATGCATGCTTTTCAGAATGATTTAATTTTTGTTTGTTTTATCTTTTTTGTACATGTATAAATCAGTAATATTTTATTTGTTTTAATATTGTTTACAATTTTACCGGTTATGTTGATGAGAGATTATTTTGTATTTGATGATCGGGCCATAATAATTTATTATAGCTTAATGATGTTAATGAGTTTTTGTGTCTCCCTTACTCCCAACCCCTACCCAAATTATGTAATAGAAAGTAGTGAAAAGAATATGTGCCTTCATTGGGGGTCAAAGCAGTGACCCCAAATCTTTTCTGCTGAACTAAAAAAAAAAGGGAAATTCCCTCTAGCATTGGCTAGTATAGCAATAATATATGTTCTTATAGATATTTCCTTAACTGCGATACTAATTATTTTTGCATGCATTTATAAATACAATGTATTACATTACACCTATAAATGGTTAAATGATGACTATGGTAAAAAATATCAGCATTCAGACAATAATTTCTGTTAAAAAATAAATTATGTCATATATTATAAATAATTGGGAAAAGCTTCCCGTCCTTGAGCGCAAAACATGCGTTTCACTTATACTTTGGCACATTACAAGTACAGTATACAGCTGTACCCAATTGTCATTATTTTTGCTGTGTTAGTTGTTTCTCAAATACTTGTGACTGCAAAACCTCATTTGTCACATGACCATTTTAATTTTTCATTTCTATATAAAAATATGTACACAGAATTCTATTTTTACCGAACAAAGTTTGAAGGTACGTACATCATTTGAAGATGTGCATGAATAAAGGAATTTGCGGTTTCACTGTTTTACTGGAGTTATGGCCCTTGAAACTTTCTGCTCAAGAAACCTTGTGAGAGCAAGGGGGGGGGGGGGGTATACAACTTTGAGCTCGCTCAGAGTTTCGTTAATTTTTCTAGATATATTGAAAATATTTGCTATAGAATTCCTTGTTATATTTATTTCATTCTGACTTTACATAAATAATTGATCAACACAAACAAATATGGCAGAGTTTTCCTACCAAACCTCAACATGACAGACTTCAACCATCCGAGTCAAGTCAGTGTTTGTCTTCACACACTTCCAAAATCACTTTCAATTCAAACACATAAGTGACTTTGGAAAGATGTTGTGATTGACAACTGCAGGCCACATCTGTAGTGTATAGTAGGTATACAATATATAAAAACTTAAGACTACATGAACAGAGATAATGTTTCCAAGGAAGATAGATACTTGGGGGGAAAAAATATTTACATTCTTAAAAAAAAAAAAGTCTTACCATTTTCATTCTTACCTGGTACTTAAATTTTATGCGAGTCCTAGGGTTATACTGCATTTCACAAGAAAAGGTGGCTCGCCAGGAAGCAGTGGTTTTTCCTCATATTCCTCGGCTCCTTCAGTGACATGAACTTGTTTTGAGAAGATCATTGTTGCAATGAAACTTTTGTGGCATTTCTTTTCTCAAATTCTTACTTGTAAAAAAAGTCTAAAGTCTCATTTTTTTGTCAATAGATTTCCTTGAATTTTGTGTGAGAATTAAAATGTCTTGACAAAAGATTCGGGATCACTATTTTCATCTACCTCTACATTTCAATCATATCTGTAGGTCCACTTACAGGCTGTGCCATAATGGGAGACGTTCTTCAGGTGCTTTTCAGGTCGGGTGGGGAGATCATGTGATATGTTTAGTGTCATACACACCATTGAGTAATTTACAAACGTTTTTCATGTTATAACAGGATTCACATATTTGTTAATATATTTGTTACCTTATTAACCAACTTTTCAAATGCTCTTAAATTGTCTAGAGGCTTATGAATATTTGGCAAACCTCTGTCTATAAATAGATATGTTTTTGCATTTTGTAGTGTACCCATTATCAGTCCTAATGCATCTTTGCTAGCAAAGATGGTCCTATTGGTGTACCGGGGGTATTTATTTATTTCTTGAATTGATTGAGGAAATCCCATGGGGACTGATCGGCTTTGAATTTGATACAGGACATTTATTTTTCTATTTCTAGTAATGTTATATTTTACATTTCCCTGCATATATATAAACTGTATCCCATTTATTAGAATTAATAACCATCTCCAGCTTCCGAACAGTCCCAGAGTTTTGTGTATATCAGTCAGATAGTTGGTTTGTTTCTACGCCGATCTCTGTGTTACTTTAGTGAAGTAGAATAGACTATTGTTTGTTCAGAGTATTTGAATAAATATTGTTGAAAGTTATTTTATGTCTTCATTGTCTTATTTTTTGTTGTCCTATTTTGGTTCCATATTTATTTAACAATGTATAGCTAGCTATCCACTTCTTTTTCAGATCTTATGAATATCACTGATAAAGTAACTTTAAAGATATAGACCACAAAATTGTGAATATTGAATTTATACCGGCCTTGACAAGTGCTACAAAACATTCTACCATATTTATTCGACAATAAGCCCTTCCCTCGTAATAAGCCCACCCATGTCAAGCAGAGCTCAGTAGAAATGCTAACAAATACTATTTCATATTTCATTGTCCAGGGACCTAACACATAAACTCGGACGTGAAGTGAAGGATGGGCCGACTGTAAGATAAAAATGGTTTATATCGTTTAGTGAGACTGCTACTATATGTGCTATATATGGAATGGATAACATCACCATTCATTGTGACATTACAATAAACGATATTACGGCATTCACAGCAAATTCAATATTGTTGGTGCTTTTCTTTGAATTTTCTTCTCTAGATATTCCAGGAAGGTTTAATTGTGCGTGTTGGTGAAGCATCTGCAAAACAAAATTTCAAACTTGTACATCTGCTTGTTTTCTATATCAACTTCGCTAAGATGGTTGTAAAGATTATCCGACAAAAGAAGCCTCAAAATGTATATATACATGTGTTTTTCACTCTCCTTGAAATAATAAAAAGATAGCAAAACTCAAAATGCAGGTCTATGATAATTTATTACCATCAAGAGCAACCAATCGCCCCCAAATGAAAGTAAACACAAGATATGACTTTCCAAGGAATAATGTCTTTTGTTAAATTCTTGAAAACTCCACTCACATTATTTTTGAAAATAGGTAAAAAATCCAAGATTAAAATACGCGTGAATAAGAATAGATGTTTAATTGTATGACGAAGTTAAACTGACACTTTGACAAACAGAGTGGATTTTGACATGTATGACGTAATTTTCTAGCCTCTATGAATAATATATTTGGTTCTTTTAAGAATTAATTATACCTTATACATTGTAGTACATTTTGAAAATGACTAAATATTAGAAAAAATTCTGAAGAAAAACATACATCAATTTCCTTTATTATTCAGAATTTCAGTCAGAAGACTGGGGCCTTTAACACAGAAAATGTACTATTTCATGACGAATGAGAGATTTGTGGTTATTTTGGGAGTTGCCACCGACCTCTGCAGTCTCAAGGACAGGAGCATAAATAAATTTCTACAATTTGAGCCCTGTCCTCAGATATTCTGGATCCACATCAGCCATAAGTTGTTAAGAGTTATTATTTTCATTTTTTTTATCTAAATTGAAAACAATGATGGACCACTCGGAACATGAGAGATCATTCTGATAAGGGGAGATAATTTTATATTCAGGGGAGATAATCTGGTATTTGCCCATTCATGAAAAGAATGCAGCAAATAATTCTGTCTATTGTAATACAGCAATACAAGATATTGTATTGCAGTTATTAGCTGATATGTCTGTTTTAAAACAAAAACTTTTGAATACAAATATAATATTGACAAGAAGCATTAAGCCATGTAATTCAGATAAATTTTCACACAGTTTTATCTAGCTTACTTAAATGATTTTATGATATATCAAACAAATGCAAACATCAAAGAATCATGAAATTTCTACTTTCCTGTTACATCCATAAAAGAAAATCATATCTGAACATTAATGCAGTAATATATTTCATCCGCTTCAATTCATCCAACCAATATTTGCATAGATTTCTGAAATACATGTACAAATTATGTTTTATTAATGGTGAGGAATGACAGTATCAAAAAACACCCAGGTATAAAAAATCAATCCTTTTGATTAGAATTTGAAAGGGTTTTCATAATCTAGAATTAACAGAACTGTAATATACACGGCATCATGACGTCATCTCAGCTGTTTATAACAACAGCTTTACCATAAATATGGAGAATTCCAGTTAAAATAGAACTGCAAAATCGTGTTTAACTTACACCAACTCTTCAGCATCAGTTTAACGACAGTCTAAGGGAGTTTGACAATACATTGAGGGAAATTGTCATAAAGAATCTGTTGAGAAAAAGGAAGAACAAGACCTTGAAATACATCAGTAACACTAATAAGCGAGGTAGCAAATGAAACATCTATATGAAGATTTTACTGAGGTTGATCCATCTAAACCCTTTTATCCCTTGGTAACTTTAGTAGACTCTACCATCCATTTATCTGTATGAGTCCATTGTGGTCTCCATTGTGAATACCGGGTAGAATATTACATGTATTATGATCCATAACATTGATCACACTTAAATAAAAGAAACATTAATTATATATAGTGTGAAGCACATTTCAGGATAAAGCGATTCACTGTATGTCATTGATGAATATTGTGAAGCACATTTCATGGTAAAGGGACACAAATGTCATGGTCAATGCTAGAAGCTATTACAGACTGTCAACAATCTCTATGACAACCATGTAAACAAAACAACACAGGGGCCTGTCACACTGTAATAGGGATCATAACCACGGAATCTCTCATTAAGGGTATCGCGACAACAACAATTATACAAACTTAAAATCCATATAAAAATCTATGTGTTATATCATAATTAATGTATAAATAATAAATTATATTAGTTATACTACAGGATATCAAAGTTCTATTTATATGTCGAAGGTTTCAGTCAGAATGTTAGACTATACACCTTAACTGCAAAATTCTTTCCTGTTTATTTATGATAGACCTGTTCAGGGGGAGAACGGGGTGTTAGAAATTATACTCCATTTTACAAATGTGGCTTCCAAAGGAACCAAAATAACGTTAAAGTCAAGAAATCGAGAAAATTCTGATGTCGCAATGTGGAAACAAACGTGATGAAACTGGAAAATTCAAACTTGTATTAACCATATAAGTCTGTGAAAATGAATGCATCTTCTGCCTGAACGAAGTTTGACAAAATGAGGTTTGCTAATTCTTGCCGACTACTTTTTTCATAGTTGGTGATATTTTCAACTTTGTAGAGAGTCAAAATACCTTCTTATAGTTTCTAAGTTGATTCTACTGATTGGAAAGCAAGAAAAAGAACTGTTCAGAGGTGAAAGCAAGCCCCAGGTTTTATCCAATTTGCAAACCCTTCAGGCAAATCTGCTTTTCTTACACCCACAGAGCATGGTAGAATCTTATAATCTGGACAGCAGGAGGTATATTCCAACTATATTGACAGAACTGTGATCCCCTGCGGTTACATGGAATTATATTCCCGTAGTTCCACAACCATGATACAAGTTATAATGATGGGTAAATCATATCTACTGTATATATATAATACATGTACAGGTATTTCACTATGTAGGACTCTGTTTATAAACATGAGCTATTTTAAGTAATATGAGCAAAAGAATATAACTAAAATAAGTAAATATTATAAATGGTATTGACAAAAATATGATAAAATAATTTTGTTTCTTGCTCTTTGCAATAAAACCATGCATTAAAATGAAATTAAAAATGTTGAGCAACATTTTGAGCACATGACGAAGAAAGCTTACTGCACTTAATATATAAAGCATCATTAGTTAAAACAAATAAAAATTAAAAATTCAGAATCTCTAAAAGTTTATATTTGCTAATCTGAATAAGCGTTGATTCTGAATTTACAGGAATAGGGTTTCTCACCACACAACCAACCATTAACGGTTATTACTTATTTACATCCAAATAGAAAACGAATTGGTTGATGAAGGCGTACATTACTGTACTTCGTCAATTCCTCAAAAATAACACTCCACATATATAAATACCGGTAACATTAGTTTCTGCTCGAGTATTTCGACATTTGTACAATCTTCAAGTTTTTACACACAGAAATCAAGCACCATCCTCATGTCCAGTGGTTATGCTCACTTTCACTCTCTATACCCCTGGAATATGATAGCTGTTGGTCTCAGGTAAACCCATCTGACCAATCGCTAGGCTGATACCTGTCCTTTGAAGATTACAAAGGGGAGAGGCCCGACTTCAAAGCCTGTCAATTTTTACCTTTACGTGACCGCGAGATTCTTTTGATGTACATCAAAGGATCAAACAAGTCTTCTTGTCTCATCAACAAGGTGGCGCACACCGAGCCTTCAATTTTGCTTTGACATATTCCAGGGGCGCAGAGAGCGAAAGTGAGCGTAACCCCTGGATATTGAGGATGATCAACCACATGAATTCTAAATCTGTATATACATGTCCTTATCTTGTAGAGATTAACATCTTGTTTTATGCACCATGATGGAAGTATCTCATCACATACCATTGCCATTTTTAAAAGTATTTCAGAGTGAAAAAATACAAACTGTCACCACTGTCCACAGCAGTCAACACTAACGTATCCACAAATAATAGGAAACTTTCTTCGGCGTCATTCTGAAAACAGAAGCAAAATATGTAAGACAGAGCAAGGAGAAGAATATAGGACAACCAAACTTGGACATGCACTAGGATTAACAGGGGTCCTACTCAAATATTTTAGACTCACAATATTGTATGTATAGAGTCTGAACAGTGATGAATAATTTCTCGAGTGTAATAGTGATTGTAAGACCATCTTTCTTATTTTGCTAATATTATACATGCATTTGTTGTGCCCATATACACCTTGATTGTAAACATGTAAAGAAAATGGATATAATCACAACATGCTCAAGCGTCACCAATAAGTGGGTTTTAAAGTTTATTTGGCCGACTAGTTTCGCCTCTGAAGTTGTGGCTTCATCAGGACCAATATACTTTGAGTGTAAACAGGTAATACTTTATTGTACTAGTTATCAAACGTCACACGTAAACATTTTACTGGTTGTGCTAAATGAACCTATATACAAACTATACTTATCAACCTGAAGAAAAAGTTCAGAAATGTTTAGTGAAACCAACGTGGAAACCAACAAGGTACACAAATAGCATAGAACAGTTCTTTTACAGAAGGAAATAGTCTTATTTTTACAGCAGTTTTTACTATTATATTTGATACTTGGGATAAATTCTCCTTACCTGGAGTAGGTGTTGTCGAAGGTGAGGGTGTAGACCCCGAGTTGTTTGGCCGTGAGCTCCCCTTTAACAGCCTGTTTGTGGGAGTCACACTTACAAGATGGCACTAGTGTCTGGGCGGCTGTTTGGGGGAGATCACTCCGGGTCTGGTACGTCACACTGAACACGATGTCCTGTTTAACAACAGAAAAATCGTGATAACAAGCCATTCGGACTGATATGTCTCTCCTGTGCCCCACTTTGACCCTCAATGCACATATCAGAGAAACTAAACGCAAAAACTTAATGTTGATGGACATGAAAAGGAGCGCTGCATCCAGCATTTGATTCATGGGTTGAGATGTACATGTACTAAGATGTCTCTGCCGTCGCCGGAAAAGCAACACCTAAGTCTCGCTTCTGCTACTTTGTTGCAGCGAGACAAAAATGGAGAATTATTAAACAATATCAAAATCAAAGATCCTCATACTTTTTCTTTGGATTTGATAATAGTGAATGTAACAATCTTGGATAAAAACATTAGATTTTGCAGAAGACTTTTACAGAACTCTTCCTAACTTTTTTTTTTTTAACTGAAGTAGTGCTGACCATAGTTTATTGCCCTACGTTACATTGAGTTATCTCCCCTGTACTACTGATGTGCTTCAGGATTTTATCCACTGAACTATGGTTGGGCCATCCTCGAATACTCAAGAGGTTATGATCACTTACATTCTCGGCCCTATGTCACAACAAATTTGAAGGCTATACTATGATTGAGACTTTATTGGGTTACCTCCCCTGTGCTATGACTTTACCTATATTAAATTATCTCCCCATAAGGTGTAATGGTGTTACCTATACCGTACGGGTCTGGGATTACCTCCCCTGTATTTACCTACCTTTGGCTATCTCTCCTGTATTTGCCTATCTTTGGTTGTCTCCCCTGTATTTTTGTTACACCTACCTTCGGTTACCTCCCCTGTATTTGGCTACCTTTGGTTACCTCCCCTGTATTTGTCTAACTTTGGTTACCTCCCCTGTATTTGCCTACCTTTTGTTATCTCTCCTGTATTTTTGTTACACCTACCTTTGGTTGTGAAGTAAACTCCCAACAGAGTACGGTATTGATCTTGTCCACCATGATAGGAACAGCAAACCTACGGCCGGCCCTAATGGTCACCTCGTTTGTACTGTTGATAATGCCTTTCTCCAACTCCTCTGTAGAAACTGTCAGACTTGTGGTCAGTCTGTAAATACATAATCAACAGGGATGGAAATTGCTGGGAAAAAAACTTGAACTACAATTGACAATTCACTAATATGGTAACCTTATAATATAATGGCTAGGTAAGAGGATAGAAATTTGTACATAATTGAAAATAACAGTAAGTAAAGGTGTTCATTTTCATGAAATATAAATATGTACACGAAGTGCAAAATTAGGGCAAAGTAAATGTGCCGTGCAAGCTAATTGGTAAAAAGAATCGAAAATAAAAGTGTTGTGTAAGGTAATTGGTAAAAAGAATCAAAAGTAAATGTGTTGTGTAAGGTAAGTGGTAAAAAAGAATCCAAGATATTACGTGGGGTCCATAGTGATTGACTGTGAATCTTCGCTGATTGTCAGTGACTTGGAGATTTCCTCATCGCTGATCATATGGAAGACATCGTCTTTCGAAGGTGCCGCAGCTCCCTCCTCTTCCTCCCTGTCAAAGTTTGATTGAAAGCATCCAATAAGAACCACCTTGGTGAAAAAAAATTTCCAGCGTTTTTCTAATATTGAAATAATTTGTGCAATATCCAACACTGTGCTGGTAAAGAGAAAAGCGACCCTTCACTAAATCAATGTGTTCAGTATATTAGATATTAAAGTCTATTTTCACACTTTTTGCAAAGTTCCATCCCAGGTGATAGCTTTAGTTTCTAATACAGATTGGATTATAATTTGTAATCTTATAATGATAATAATAATTTGAGGTTCTTTTACACTGCTTTATCATAAACTAGTTTGTAGGTCATCTCAAAGCGGTTCACAAATTATCATCCATGGTTATAGGGCCTTTGCAACCAGCCAATAATGAATATCTTTCTCAACTCCCTGGGGAGCATACACCCAGTGCTGCCATTTCAGCAATCACAGCTAGCATTCAAAAATTCTAGCACTGCCCAACACATACTCCTTTACAGCTGAGTAGACTGGAAAAAGCAGAGTAAAGCATCTTGTTCAAAGATACCACACAATGCAGTGACGTGACTCGAACAGGCAACCCTTCAGTCACAAGCCAGGCATCCTACTACTGGACTACCATGCCTCCTTAGTCTAATTGTATTTTAGTTTGAAGTACAATTTGTGGTCTCACTGTAGTCTAGTTTTCAGTCGGGAGAATTCAGTGCTGTAATATAAACCTACCCTGTAACAGTTTTCTTCACTTTGGTTTCGTCAGTCTCATTTTCACCGACCAATGCTATTGAGATATCAGTGGCCACTTGACCGGGAACTGTATACGTCATCTCTTCTGTCCTTGACCCCTCCATGGAGGACTGGTCTGTGGGCTCTAAAATAAAAAATATCATCAGCTTTTTGAAAAACATTCATAATTTTTAACACTGCTTTCACCACAATTTAAATACTAATAGTAAGTTTCATAATATAATATTTTGCAAGAATGATACACACTTAAAGGCATTGACCTTGATTTGTGAAAGAGATGCTGTGGTCAGGTGGCAGAGTGGATAGTGCACTTGCTGTTTACCTAGAGGGCCGGGGTTCGATTCCCAAATCGAATGTGAAAAGGTACTTGGTCACCTGCCCAACCCCATGGGATTTCCCCGGGTACTCTGGTTTCATTCCACATTAAAAACCCTCCGCACACTTACATCCAGGTCAACAAGAGTGATAAGTATCACTAGTATCACGCTAAAACAGTTAACCCTTTCACCATTATAGACCACAATGATTTCATCAAGATCAATGCATGGTAGAGTCTACTGAAGTTATATAGGGGTGAAAGGGTTAAGCTACATATCACAAGCCATTACCTGAAGACTCTATAGTAGAAGTGCTCTCATTCATTTGGCTGACCACCACCCTTGGTTCCTTGCCAATAGACTGACCGTACGTGTCTGCTGCCTCTTGGTCTAATGACAGGCCGCGAGAGGTACGGAACTTACAATGAGGCAGCTCTACAGTGTCTTCAAAGTCATTGTTTTCTGTGTCTGGTGTATCAGCCTGATCCGACTCAATCTGACTATGCCATAGGTAGCACATGTTACAGGCCCGAGACTTCTTACTGAAACAGGGGGAGATCACTCTATTAGACAATCATCACAAGGTAGGTTCATGTACTAATGTCACTGTGAAAATCCTTTTTGCCAAGAAATACATAATTTCATGATACATCATTAGTAAATGATCTTTAATTCCCACAATATTGTTTTCAGATTTAATTCAAGATCCAGAAAATTCTGTTTCCGAATTATTTTTCTTCAGACAATTTGTCCTTAAAGACATGTCCACAATAATGAATTAAATAAACTTCCAAATTCAAAAGCAGAAATGTTCTCGCACAGAAAGATTCCCCCTGGTTTATGGCATTATTTCACAATTTTATTAACAAGGTCATTTCCTGACAATAAAAACTTTCTGTAAATATCATCTGTGGAAACTGTTTGTATATGTGGCCTGTACTAGACAATGTTTGTTTGTGTGGCCTGTACTAGACAATGTTTGTGTATGTGGCCTGTACTAGACAATGTTTGTGTATGTGGCCTGTACTAGACAATGTTTGTATGTGTGGCCTGTACTAGACAATGTTTGTGTATGTGGCCTATACTAGACAATGTTTGTGTATGTAGCCTGTATTAGACAATGTTTGTGTATGTGGCCTGTACTAGACAAAGTTTGTGTATGTGGCCTGTACTAGACAATGTTTGTGTATGTGACCTGTACTAGACAATGTTTGTGTATGTGGCCTGTACTAGACAATGTTTTTATGTGTGGCCTGTACTAGACAATGTTTGTGTATGTTGCCTATACTAGACAATGTTTGTGTATGTGGCCTGTACTAGACAATGTTTGTGTATGTGTGATGTTTGAGTACGTTTGATGTCCGTACGTGTGAAGTATTTGTACATGAACTTACCTGCTGTGCGCTGTCATGATCCAGTTATTGCTACAGTTGAAACAGAAGATCTTCCCACATATCCGACAGTGATGCTGTCAACAGAGAATTAAATTCTAGTGAAACACAGTAAAACTTCACATAACAACTTCTATATAATTAGTCAAACTGTTTGATGTTCATGGTTAGCCTTTGATTATATCACTGATTAAAGCATGAAACATACATTCAAAAAAGAAATATGATCATTTGAATACCTAGCCCAAATTTCTTCTGGCCCTACCACCAGACTTAAACATTTTGACAGATAAGTGCCTGATGTCTGTCTGTCAAAATGTCTGATGTCAGGGCCAGAGGAAACTGGGGCTATTGGATTCCAGTCTCAAAAACATTTTTAATTGAAATAACGTGTTCAGCACACAGCTAGTTTCAAAAAAGAAACAGCAATGTCCAACCATTGTAAATTACCAAAACATTTTTTTTTATACTATGCTAAAAAAAACATATAACACTGCTATCTTGAATGACCTTGACATTGTTACCTTGAGTGACCTTAGCTTGACACAGCTACCTTGAATAGCCAACAGACATTGTTACTATAAATCATTGACCTTTGACATTGTGATTATAAATGACCTTGACATTGACCTTTCTGACTGTGAAGGAGAACTCGGTTTTGCAGCCGAGACAGTTGAGCACTTTTTTGTCATCCATCCACTTCTCTTTGACCTTTTCCTTCTGTTGATAGGCCAGCTGATCCGACTTTTGCCAAAGTGTGTCCTTTTCTCTGTTACCGTGAAAACAAAATGATAACAATATTGCTTTTGAATATTTGAACCCTTATATTAACACATGTTTTCATCGTTAAGCATTTGAGTCGCTATACACTTTGTAAATTAGAACTTGTGTGCATGGCAGGGTAGAATGAGGCTTAGGTGTGTACCATTACAATCAAAGTCATTATTTGGCCAAAGACTATATAAGTCCTTGTTGTTCAAAGTCTTATTAGATGAACAAGGTGTTGAATTAAATTTTCAAAAATGCTTGCTCTTTTAATTTTTTTCCATTCAATAAAATTATCAAAACTGTCTCCATATTGTTATAATCAATCACTATAAGTGCCTGCTTTTGGTTTTGATTTATTTCAAGACATAAAACATGTGCTCTATGACAACACCTTGTCTAACTCCAAGAAACTGATTTTACCGGATGAGTTTGATGAGTTTTTTCTTTAGTTGTTCTGTATCTGTTTTAAGTTCTGAGATCTCGCTCTGACTCTCCATCCCCGAGTCATTTAGTCTCCGTTCAGCGTCCTCTAGCTGGCTCTACAACAGACCAACCATATCCCTCTTTACACCCCTCCTAACATGCCACCCCACAGCCATCCATGTCTTATTTATTTATTCACCAACCAATCACACTGAGAAACAAACTATTTCATGAACAGCATAAGAATATTCTATATCATAATTAACAGACTCAAAAAATATTTTTAAAATGAACTATCGCTATAAAGAATATGTGAAATAATACATATCAGAAGTTAAAGTAAAGACTTTCAATCGCACTCCTACCTGTATTTGTGAAAATGTGTTATGTCGTCTCAATATTAAAATCAATAAATTAAAGGTATTAAAGTTATGATGAAGCTTAGAAATTTGCAGAGCATAGAAGAACATGGAAATTAAGTACTGATCAAAAAAACAAAATGCACAGAATCTTTGTACATGTAGTATAATAATTGTACCTGCAATGACTGAATTTTTCGTGAATCTATTTTAGTAAAAATCGTAAAATTCCATGTGAACTTGTAAGAATAAATAACTGCATGTTAAGTACATTAGAGATCGGCTTTTCTCAAAAACTTAAGAAAAAAATATAGACCTCCAGAATGTTTGCTCCTTATAATTTACAGTCTCTGTCTGTAGGTTTCCAGGGGTGCAGATAGCGTAAGTGAGCATAACCCCTGGATTATCGAGGATGGGTGTAGATATAAATGTTGAACGCCAATAACATATCACAAAATTAATTTTCGGGGCACATTTACTAAATGTTTATACCCAATATGGAAAGTTTTGATAAGGAATTAAACAAAAACATTTAAGCGTGTGACCTCACAAAGCAAGAGCTCTACTCAATTTCTACTCATAAGGAGGAAGCATGCACTACTTGGAAATTCTCATGCATACAATGATCTTACTGTCAATAACCCCATGGCTCATTATTGAAGCTTAAGCTCTCCTCTTAACATTAGTTCTTGCTGATTTTTATTATGGTTTAATCATATGAAACACATTAAGCGTTATGTTTATATTTTCATCATCAAATAAGTTCCTAAATTTCCGTAAATATCGCTAGTATACTAGGACCCTGACGAAGGAGTAAGGATACCACTGATTTGGCAGGAAATACATTGCATATTCACTGCAATATTACATTTATACATGCCTACCACATATTACAAAATCCTAGAAATCTTTTAACTGTCCTCGGAGATAAACCAAACCGTCAGTTACTGTTAAAGCCAATATCGTTACCTGACTGATGACCAATCATATTATCGTAACATATCGTATTTTCAACTCAGTGCTGTGAGTTCAATCTGATATATATGTATTGTACAATGTATCTAGCCCGGCCCTACCTTAAGAGATAAAACAACAGATTTCTCGGTCTCCAAATCTTTTCTGGTCTGAAACAAAACAGACATGCATCAAAAAAGGGAAGGAGTTGGTATAACTGATACGTATATATATAGACATACGAGGGCATCCAAAATAAAAAATCCAAAATATCAAGAAACCTAAAGAAAAGATTTTATCCCAAAACTTTTGATCCATTAAATGTTCAATTAGTCCTGGATGCAGAGGTGAGGAACTTATAAAACGAACTGAGTATCCAAAGTAAAAACAGTGTTGAGGTCATCAAGAACAGTCTACCTGTTAAACAAAACCAAATAGTATACTATCCAGGAAGTACTAGTGTTGAAAAGTTCCCTGATTGAAGTTTAATTTTTTTAATTAAGATTGAATGTATTTTACTCAATTTTCAGTCCCACTAGAAAATCACCTGCTTTATTGACGGGTAAAAATGAAACTGGCAATTAACAGGGAAGGTAATTAATGTGCATGTACTGCTCTTTAACCCGAACTCTCTTATTGCTATTACACATGCACTTAATGAAAAAGTTCATAATCAGAGAAGAGAATATCTTCATGCGCCATGACATGTCCAAAATTACCAAACTCTGATGTCTACTTATTAAAGAACTTGCAATTATATACATTTATTAGGATATTTTTTTAATAATAAACATCCAATGGTACTTTTCTTAAAAATAGGGCTTTAAAATACAACTGAAAGATATAAAAATTACACTCACAATATTTTGAGCAAAACATTTTGGTTCTTATTCTGTCTTTGCGTATTGCAGAGTTATCTTCTCTTGAGAACAGGGATTGATTGTTACGTCATTGGGTTGTGTGAGTAACGGTATCAATTTTTGAGAAAAAGACGTAATTTTCTCACTCAAATCAATGACGTAAAAATCATTACCTTTTCTCAAGAGAAGATAACTCTGCAATACGCAAAGACGGAATAGCCTTTGGTGACTAGTTTAGAAGTTTTTTGATAGTACATACGAATGTGTTATTAACACAATGTGTTTCGTTATAAGTTGTGTAGATCAAAAGCAAGTTTGCTTCCAGCAGTTTTCAGTTTATAGCTAGATAGGCATCAACAAGCAGCAAATCAGGAAAAATAAGCCGAGGCAGACCAAGAGTAGTGTACATGTGTGCTCTATATATAAAACACCGAGGCAGACCAAGAGTAGTGTGTGCTCTATATATAAAACAAGAGTAGTATGTGCTCTATATATAAAACACTGTGATACCCAAATACTGCAGAACACTCATATTTAGTGTCGTAGATTTTCTCAGCATCAATAATGAATTCAAGTTTTATAGGAACAGTAATTTTAATTTATTCATAACGTTAGATAAAATCACTTTCAGTGGAATACAATTAAATTTCCTCAGAAATATCAAAGTACATTAAAAATTGATTGGTGAATTTATGAGTGAAATACAAGTAAGCTACAGTAAAGCCAATAAAAAGCCAATAAAAAAAACTTACATTAAAAACATAAAATTACAGGTGCATATCAGTCAGGTAAATTAGAAATGAAGCATGATCATTTTTAATAAATTATCAAGGAACACATTTACAGTCAATTCTGTATTCAGAGCCAACCCTCGTAGGACATAAAGCTGTCTCTTAACACAGGTAGTCTAAAAATAACTACAATGAGGAGTTATAAAACTGGTCTCTTAACACAGGTAGTCTAAAAATAACTACAATGGGGAGTTATAAAACTGGTCTCTTAACACAGGTAGTCTAAAAAATAACTACAATGGGGAGTAATAAAACTGGTCTCTTAACACAGGTAGTCTAAAAAATAACTACAATGGGAAGTCTCTTAAAACAGGTAGTCTAAAAATAACTACAATTAGGAGTTATAAAACTGATCTCTTAACACAGGTAGTCTGAAAAATAACTACAATGGGGAGTAATAAAACTGGTCTCTTAACACAGGTAGTCTAAAAAATAACTACAATGGGGAGTCTCTTAACACAGGTGGTCTAAAAATAACTACAATTAGGAGTTATAAAACTGGTCTCTTAACACAGGTAGTCTAAAAATTAACTACAATGGGGAGTCTCTTAACACAGGTAGTCTAAAAATTAACTACAATGGGGAGTCTTTTAATGCAGGTGGTCGGACAATAACTACAATGGGGAGTCTCTTAACACAGGTAGTCTAAAAATTAACTACAATGGGGAGTCTCTTAACACAGGTAGTCTAAAAATTAACTACAATGGGGAGTCTCTTAACAAAGGTAGTCTAAAGTTAACTACAATGGGGAGTCTCTTAACACAGGTGGTCTGAAAATAACTACAATGGGGAGTCTCTTAATGCAGGTGGTTTGAAAATAGCTACAATAGGGAGTTTTAAACTTGGTCTCTTAACACAGGTGGTCGGACAATAACTACAATGAAGAGTTTTAAAAATGGTGTGATGTAAAAATAGCTAAAATGCTGGATTTTAACATTGGTCTCTTAACACAGGTGGTCACTTTATTTATAGAGGTGGTCTCTTTTTCAGGTTTGACTGGATTAGCAATGGACTGTATTTTAGGCTAGTATAGATATAAATGCTATGTACCAAACTACAACAGTAATCAGCACCAAACAGAAACAAGAAAAAAACATGAATTGAGGAAATTTTTACAGACACACATATGCATTCAGTGAACAGTCAGGTCAAGTTTTCAAACACACCGATGCATATACTTTGTATATTGTAAATAAACTTTACTCAAAATGTCCAAATTTACAACTATTATTTATATTTCTTATATATCATCATGAACACTCCTTTAGATTTTGTTTTCTGAATACAAACAGAGGTTTGATAAAGAAGTTAACTTGAATATATCTCCCCCCCCTGTAGGGCCTACCATAAGGAGTTTCTCCTGGAGTTCCCCCTTATTCATGTCCCTGGTCTGCACCATGGACCGTAAACTTTCCACCTGTTAAACAGAGAATCAAATAACCATGTTCAAGACTACAATCAAATTATCTTCTCTTTAACAAAGATTCCAATACATTAAGTCATACAGTCAGCCATTCAGTCTTGATAACTTTAACCCCACTGAGCCGGCCTCAACTCCCAGCACTCCATGCATTGCTTCTGAGGAAATATGTTCTCATGTGTTTGGTTGTCTGTTTGTTCGGGCTTAATGGCTTCCTGACTCAAGGAGACCATTTTGGATCGAAAGCGCCACAATTCGACAAAGGAACTCGAAAGACTTCACACACATCAAAAGGAAGTAAAATGTTAAAATTTGTAAAAAGTTTATCAATATGATTATATAGTGCAAGAGTAGTTTAAACGCTATGTTCTATCACAATGCTCCAGAATGTGGATTTTCTGGATTAATAAGGATAACCCTTCGGTTTTCATAAATTACATTACCTGGTATGTATCACTTGAAAGCGACGTTCTTGCTTCACTGATAAGTTAAAGTCTAAACGAGCCAGGTTACATTTGACATACCTCGTGACCTTGTCTGTCCTTCTCTCTTTCCCGGGCGGACTTGATCTCGGCCATCTCCTGTTCCAGCTGCTCTATGAGGCCCTCCTGCTCCATCAGTTTGTCCTTCAACTCGCCGATGTTTGTCTCCTGAGAGTTGTACGACTGAGGAGATAAACAAACCATATACATATTGGAACTGTCAATCCTCTGATTTACAGGAGTACTTTTTTTTAAAGGCATACTTGATTTACACATTCATCATTTGTTTTTTTTACAGGAATTTGACATACAGGAACTTGATTTACAGGAATACTTGATTTATATAAATATGTACTCTATACCAGCAAACTTTCATCAAGTCAAACTTTATATCCAATTACTATAGATATTACTTTGTTTAATTATATTTGCTGTAATAATAAATTTGCCCTCATTAACTCATTCACCCCTGAAGACACATTTGAACTCTTCCAATTCAAAGGTTGGAATAGTCCATTATGAAATTGCAGGGGTAAATGAGTTAAGGAGGGCGGAAATGGGAAAATGCAGCGGAAAATTCCAAGAATACAGTATCTAGTTTACAGGAATATTGTACTTGTTTAACATAATCCATATACAGGAATATTTGATTTACAAAGGATACTTGACTTACAGGAATATTTGATTAAAAGAATAAATACTAAAGATAACATTGTATGTCCCCAACCTCCGAACCACAGAAAGACTGTTGGGACCTGTAACCTTTCAACTTTGACCTTACCTTCAGGGCCTGTTGATGCTGTATCTGCTCAGCACTGTTCTGGAACTGTAGAGCTGTTATTTCCTGCTTTAGTGTTTCCCGCTCTTGGTCAAAATTCTCTTCCATGGACTTCAAGGTTTCCTCAAGCTCAGCAACATGTTTGTCTTTTTCAGATACTGATTTCTCCAAATCCTCTAAAGACACCGAATTATTTTTCAAAAGACTTTCCAGTTCCTCAGTATGACTTGTGTTGTTTTTGAGTTCATTTTGTAAACCTATCATAGCAGATTCTAACTCACTTTTTTCATCTCTCAAAGTATTCATTTCTTTCTCCAATTGTTTTTGTTTTTCCTCCAAAACTTCGCAATTTTCTTTCCACTTTTCTGCACTTGCCTTCAATTCTCCTTCCAGAGCGTCAATTTTTACCATTGCTTCGTCTCTCTCTGTTGTTAAATCTTTTAACTCATTTTGAAGCGTCCCGATTTCTCCTTCAACTTTCTCTTTCTCCGACATCATGCCAGTCTTCTCTGCTTTCAATCCATCAAACATGGCCGTCATTTCACTGACCCTGATCTTTTGACCTTTGACCTCCTCATCAAGACCTTGACATTGAGTCTGTAGCTGTGTTATCCTCTCCTCCATAGTAACCTTGTCAGATATGATGTCGTTCCGTTCGGCCACAAGTTGATCCTGGGACAAGAAATAATAATCTCAAATATCACTTAATCCTTGAAATCCAAGGAATCTGCACTCAAAACATATGATTTTTTATCTACTTTGCACCCCTGGAATATGTTATGACAAAATTAGAAGCTCTTTACACGTCACTTTTGTGTATGATACAAACACCCTGATGAAGATCAAAGAAATTGTGCAGCAACGTAACGGTAAACTTGACAAGCTTCGAAGTTTGATTAATCAGGTTAGCATTTGGTTAGGGTTTTTTATACATCAAACCAGTGTTCTCCCAAGGATTGTTTTGAAGAGCTATGGTATGTATTATTTTTTCTCTGTAATTACAGTGTGGCACTGCCCACCCTTTCAGTGCCGGGACCCATTTATCAAGCGCGATGCCATTTTGAGAAAGAAGGCTCAAAACAAGCGTAATCATTGATGTATTTCATTTTAAATAAATAGCATTATCTAATAATCTTGACATTGCATTATTATCCCTTTTTTTTAACTACCACCAATAAAATAAGTTGACTCAAGAAAATAGATAATTTTAGCAAATCACATTTCTTGTTCAAGAAAATCATCACAGAAATAATTCAATATACATCGTCTCTAAAAATAAATGAATAAAACTGACACTCAAACAAATGATATTTATCATGACAAATTATTAATTAATTTTGAAATCGATGATTTATCTCTGTAATTTAATTTAACTGAAACCATCCGAATAACTTAAAGCAAGCCTTTAACGTTGCCTTGACATAGTCCTTCGTAAAGATCGAGAATAGCCAAATCTTTGGATTTTGAGGATGGTTTTATTTTAATTATGCTCACAACAAGTGATAACCAGTAAGGAACATCTTATTAATTCTCTTGCATATCTACAGTAGTATATTTTTTGTTGGGAAGACACTTCCATGCATATTTTTGTTCAAATCTTCACCAAATGACCTTGAGGTGATCAATCTAAACTGACCTTGAGGTGGTCGATCTAAACTGACCTTGAGGTGGTTGATCTAAACTGACCTTGAGGTGGTCGATCTAAACTGACTTTGAGGTGGTCGAACTAAACTGACCTTGAGGTGGTCGATTTAAACTCACCTTGAGGTGGTCGATCTAAACTGACCTTGAGGTGGTCAATCTAAACTAACCTTGAGGTGGTAGGTGTTCTCTAGCTCACGTGACGTCTGCTCCAGCTGTAGTTTAATACTGCCTAGGTCTGTCATGGCCTCCTCTAGGTTTTCTGTCAGGTCCTGTCGCTCACTCTGAAGTCTCTGTAGGAAAAGATACAAAATTATTACCGGAATCTTACTCCAGTTAAACATGACAACCATCCATCACTCATTTTGAAACTCTATGTATAAGGGAACATGACAGAAACCTTTGTTCAAGTTGCAAAATATTTTGTTAAATAGATTTTGATTTGCAATTTTTTTTGAAAAAGGCAGTATAGAAGTTTGTTTGTGCTTACACATGATAATGAAACACAAATAATTTGTTATGCTTATATTTTTTGTGTGAAATACATAAACACTGCATTTCAATAAAAACCCAGGCTACAAAAAGTAGCATTTTATCAACAAACATATTTCATCCGGAAATAACCTTTGAATATGAAATTACATTACCCGGTATTTCACCCAGACCCACTGGGATCCAACAAACTGACTTGATTAGACAGGGTGACAGTTTACATGATTATATATACATGTAGTACTTTCTATGAACAATTACTGCTGTGTCAGATATGACAGGAAATTGGAATACTCAATGTTCAGTTTAGATAGGTTCTACTGTATAGCTAAATATTATTAACAACCAATCAAATTTCATTATTCTTAATATGGCCATTCTTGAATAACCAATCATATTTCATCATTCTTAATATGGCCATTCTTGAATAACCAATCATATTTCATCATTCTTAATATGGCCATTCTTTGAATAACCAATCAGATTTCATCCTTCTTAATATGGCCATTCTTAAATAACCAATCAGATTTCAACATCTTCCTCAATATGGCTATCCTTAAATAACAGATCAGATTTCATAATCTTCCTTAATATGGTAATTCTTCAATAACCAATCAAATTTCATCATCTTCCTTACAGTAATATGACCATTCTTAAATAATCGATCAGATTTCATAATCTTCCTTAATATGTTAATTCCTAAATAACCAATCAGATTTCATTATCTTCTTTCTCTGTAGATTGTCAGCCAATCAAATCTGGTGTAACTTACCTCTAGAACTTCCTGGTGCCCCTTCTCCCTTTCCTCCTTCTCCTGTCTCACGGTGAACAACTTCTGCTCCGAGTCAAACAAACTCTTTTTCACCTCTGTCAACTTCTGTTCTATCTGTTGCTTTTCTTCAGTAGCTGATGCAACATTCTTTTTCAAGCGTTGATTTTCATTTGTCAGATCATCTAAACGTTTACACAAATTCTCACACTTTTTATCCGATTTCGACTTTTCTACAACAAGATCACTCAATTTTGTTTCAGTTTCTGAAATTTTTGTTCTCGATTTAGCTAAGTCAGACTGCATCTCGTTAGCTTTGTCTGTCTGTTTGTCCAGCTGACTTTTAAGAGATTGAATTTGTTCAGTAAGACTATTTTGATGCTGACTAGTTTGTTCTTGCGTCGCTGAACTTTGTCGTAACTTTTCTTCCGACACTGACAAAGAATTCTGTAGTTCATGTAGTGTTGCTGATTTTTCATTCAATTCTTTTCCCAGTTTAGCAACTTCTGCTTTCAGATTTTTAACGTCTGCTTCCCTTTCAGAAATAATCGTTTCTTTCTCTCTTAAAGATTCATTCAATTTATCCCTTGTTTCAGAGAGATTGTGAACGTTTTCAGACATTTCTGAATTTTGATTCTTAAGAATTGTTTCTTTTTCTTGTAAATCTAACAAAGACTTCTTCAAACTTTCTGCGTCTTTTTTGCTATTCATAAGTTGTCTCCCCTGGTCCTCGCTCTCTACAGTTAACGAATGGCACTGCTCCGATAGAGACTGTTTGTCAGATTCCAAACATTTCATCCTGTCGTCCTTTTCAGCCATTTTCTCTACAACCTCACTGAATACATTTGAAAACTCAACATCATCCATCTTGTTTGGAATCTGAAATATGTAATAGATATTATATTTAAATCTAAACAATGCATTATGTGTATCAATGAATGTTTAAAATATGGCATGAACATTGTCTTTGTAAGAACAACAATTAGATAATGACCTTGAAACATGAACTGTTGTAAGTTTCCTCCTGTTTTACCTTTTTTGTAATTCATGTATAATACCTCTAATTTCACCTTTTGGTAAATTTCTCTAGTTTTACTTTCCTGTAATTTTTTCTAGACTGCCTTATTTTAAATTCCTCTAGTTTTTAAGATTTATTGTAAATTCTTAGTTTTACCTTGTTATAACTTCCTCTAGTTTTACCTTATTATACCTTCCTCTAGTTTTACCTTATTATAACTTCCTCTAGTTTTACCTTATTATAACTTCCTCTAGTTTTACCTTATTATAAATTCCTCTAGTTTTATCTTATTATAAATTCCTCTAGTTTTACCTTATTATACCTTCCTCTACTTTGTCATTACATATATTTGTATCTCCTCATTTTTTTCCTCTGTGTACATGAAATATCTAGCTTACCTTAGTGTAAGATCCTGCGTCTAAACAGCCTCGTAGCCATTGTATGGATTGCACACATTGTCTCCCCTTTGTTTCCAGTTCTCTGTTAGCGGCCATCTTCTCCTGCAGTGCAGTCTTGACTTCAGTAACAGATCCCTTTTCTAAGGACTGTTGTTCGATCATGTTTCGAATTTCTGTTTCTTTGCCCTTGATATCGCCTTGGAGACTTTTTACCTGTGCATGAAGACTCTCACAGCGAACCTTTTCCTCAGATAATATTCGCTGAGATTCCTCCAACTTTTGTGCTTTTTCCACTATAGCACTCTCCTTTTCAGCTACTTGTTCATTTATACTTTCAATGTCTGTTTGTAGCCTTAAGTTTTCAGCAGTTAAATGTTTTAAACTTTCTTGTAACCTTGCACTTTCAAAATGTCTACTTTCCTCTGATTTGGTCAGTTTTGTTTCCAATTCGCTCGCTAACACTTTCACTTTTTCCATGTCACTTTTACTGGTTTCACTTTCCAGACACGACATTTTATTTTCGTTTACTAACTTTGCCATTTCCTCCATTTTTTCTCTTTCTATCGTTGCGTTTAAGTCTTGCAGACACTTAAGTTCCTGTGTTGTTCTTAAAGTTTCGGTTTCAAGTTTCTGTTGTAGACTTTCGATCTTCTGCTGGGCGGTGTGGTTTTCATTTTCTCTGTGAGTGGTCAAATCGACAACTTTACTCTCCAAAGCAGCTAACTCCTGATCTCTTTGACTACACTGGTTGGTCACCTCAAGTAGTTCTCCTTTTAGTCTAAGATTTTCTTCTTCTGCTTCTTTCAAACTGATTAGAGCACTTTGAAGTTGACTGACAGAATCCATTTGTGAAGATGCAGCTTCATTTTTATTTTCAACAACAGATTTCAACTTGTCCAAGAGTTTGTTTGCCTTTGATTCAGATGCTTCTAGCTTAAGTTCCATATCCTTGATCATGTCAGAATGCTTTTCCTCAGCTTTTTTCCCGTTTTCAAGATCCTGGCTCAAGGTACGAACCTGTTCAGTACAATAATGATCAAGACATAGTCATTCACAGGAAAGGTAAGACCTGATTCTTGTCAATTATCTTAGAGCTGTTAGCATTATCTAATACATGTACACCTATCATTTACAATTGCCAGAGTTTATCAATGTTTTGATTTTTTTGTTACCTTTTAAACATGTCATCAATTCTGATGTAAATTTCAAATGTGTCGTCAATTCTGCTGTAAATTTCAAACGTGTCGTCAATTCTGCTGTAAATTTCAAATGTGTTGTCAATTCTAATGTAAATCTCAGATGTGTTGTCAATTCTACTGTAAATTTTAGATGTGTTATCAATTCTAGTGTAAATTTCAGAAGTGTTGTCAATTCTACTGTAAATTTCAAATGTGTTATCAATTCTAGTGTATATTTCAAATGTGTGATCAATTCTAGTGTAAATTTCAGATGTGTTGTCAATTCTACTGTAAATTTCAAATGTGTTATCAATTCTAATGTAAATTTCAAATGAGTTGCCAATTCTGATGTAAATTTCAAATGCGTTGTCAATTCTACTATAAATTTCAAATGTGTTATCAATTCTAATGTAAATTTCAGATGTGTTATCGATTCTAGTGTAAATTTCAAATATGTTATCAATTCCAGTGTAAATTTCAGATGTGTTGTCAATTCTAGTGTAAATTTCATTAGTGTTATCAATTCTAATGTAAATTTCAGATGTGTTGTCAATTCTAGTGTAAATTTCAGATGTGTTATCAATTCTAGTGTAAATTTCAGATGTGTTGTCAACTCTACTGTAAATTTAAAATGTGTTATCAATTCTAGTGTAAATTTCAGCTGTGCTTTCCGTTAATTAACAAATCCAACAAACAAAATGAATTTTATCAATTCCTTTAAGAAGAACTGTTTTGGAATAACAATGAATTTCTCAGTAATGTAGCATACATCTTTAATACAATTGTGTGAAAAAAGTTAAATCATACGGAAAATCATTAGTGATACATGTAATATTATCCCTGTGGAGTGAACTTGTCCTCAGCACTGATTATATATTATAAATTAAAGTGATAAATTTGCAAGGAGACTGATTCATCAATTCAAATCTGTTTCATGAATATTTATTTCAATGTTTATTACCGGTAACTTTCAGTATTGAAATAGCAGCCTCTCTATTGCGATTTTAAGTATGTGTGTTCACTGTGTTTGTCTTCAGGTTTGGGAAATAGAGTAAACGAAATACAAAAAAAATGTGATTCACAGTAATAGGGATGTTCAGCTCAAAAGATATTCATTTTATTTGTGGAAATTAAAATTATCATGAGCTGTAGGAGAACAGCATAGCTCAAATGTCAAATATTAAAAATAAAAAAAAATAAAAATAAAAAATAAAAAAAAATATCCTATCAAATCAAACATTGTTATGAGTTCTATATTCCAAAAGACTTGTGTTTTGGACAAATAATTAGCAAATATGGTCCAATTTGTTGTTAAGATACCTCCAAGCAATTGCTGTAACCATATTACAATATAAAATTTATTAAAAGTTGAGTTAAACATCAAAACACAGATTGCCAAATAACTTTAACCAAGTGGGACGCCCCTATTCTTCGAATCGGCGAGCTAAAAATGAAAGTGATTTTTTTTCCTTCATTATAATCAAAGCAGTACTTTGACATTAACATTAAATACCTTAGGGGTATAATTTCCGAATGTATTGTAAATATGTTGCACACAAATTCACACCTGTAACGTGAGGTCCATTTTCAGCTCTTCTAGTTCAGCAATCCTGGCCATGTTGGAGTCATCAGAACCCTTTCTGGACATGTCAAGTTGTTGAACTTTGCCCTCCATGCTGTTGACCTTTGACCTGAGAGACTCAGTTTCCTGTTTGGCACTGTCCAGTTGCTTGTTGTATATGTCCTCCTTCATCTGCCATTCCTTCTCCCGTGTCTCACACTCCAGGCTCAGCCGATCAAACCTACAGTGGCAGATGTATATCATCAGAGGTTTGTTTTCTGACGTTCACAAGATCGGTAAACATGCAGTCTCTGTACCACTGAAACACTTCGACATCAAAAACCCACAAGTCCAGTCCAATGTGTGCAATATGGCATTAATGAAGCAGGTCATTTTCATAATTCCTGGATTTTCGATCTAAAATCAGCATCATGTGCAGAAAGAGTTTACCCTATAAAATCCTGTAATAATTCCTGGGGACAAACATCATCACCAACACAGAAGAAAGGGGCAGGCTTATTACAGGACAATGAAATAGCATTTGTTGGCATTTCTTGTGAAGTAAAATAGATATGGATGGACTCATTACCAGGAATGGCCTTATTGCCTGATAAAATGGTATAAACAGACCTGTTCCAATTTTGATAACCATATTTGCCAATTTAAGTGCCCCCCCCCCCTATGATGTACATCCCTTAGGTCAGTCTACACCTTACCTATACTGTACATATCTGTGGTCAGTTTATACTTTACCTTTGATGTCCATCCCTGTGGTCAGTCTACACTTTACCTTTGATGTCCATCCCTGTGGTCAGTATACATCTTATCTACCGTATTATGTACATCCCTGTGGTCAGTCTACACCTTACCTTTGATGTACATCCCTGTGGTCAGTCTACACCTTACCTATGATGTACATCTCTGTGGTCAGTCTACACTTTATCTATGATGTACATCCCTTAGGTCAGTCTACACCTTACCTATACTGTACATATCTGTGGTCAGTTTATACTTTACCTTTGATGTCCATCCCTGTGGTCAGTCTACACTTTACCTTTGATGTCCATCCCTGTGGTCAGTATACATCTTATCTACCGTATTATGTACATCCCTGTGGTCAGTCTACACCTTACCTTTGATGTACATCCCTGTGGTCAGTCTACACCTTACCTATGATGTACATCTCTGTGGTCAGTCTACACTTTATCTATGATGTACATCCCTTAGGTCAGTCTACACCTTACCTATACTGTACATATCTGTGGTCAGTTTATACTTTACCTTTGATGTCCATCCCTGTGGTCAGTCTACACTTTACCTTTGATGTCCATCCCTGTGGTCAGTATACATCTTATCTACCGTATTATGTACATCCCTGTGGTCAGTCTACACCTTACCTATGATGTACATCCCTGTGGTCAGTCTACACCTTACCTATGATGTACATCTCTGTGGTCAGTCTACACCTTACCTGTGATGTACATCCTTGTGGTCAGTGGTCAGAGCTTCGTGGTCAGCCTTGAGATTTTTGTAATGCTCCTGTAGCAGGCCTAGCTCTCCCTGTGATGTGATAACGGACTGCTGGAAACTCATTTTCTGTTGCTCCATAGCCTCCATCTTGTCAATCAGGTCAGCGTGCATGCTGTCAGAGGTCAAGTGGTCAAGGTCAGAATCATTGGGGGTACTGGACAGACCATGTCTGGACGAGTTTAAATCCTGTAAGCAAAATATATCACATTATAACCTGTATAAATGAAACTCTATACAACAAGATTGATATTAATATGTTACGCAGAAAGTTTTTCAATGTCAACTTACCTGACTAGGTATACTTAACAGACTTGTCATACTTGACGTTCTACTCGTCAGATTCCAGTTGTTTGACCCATGGCCAATCAAATTCTTCCTGTGCAAATAAATAAAAAATTATATAAATAAATCAAAAAACGGTTTATTTGAACACAAAAGAGTTGACTATTCCCTATTACTCAAACAATGGAGTTATCTCCACTTACATAATCCTGATTTTCATACATGTATTGTTTTCACAATAGTTTTTATACATGTATAACACTTGATACCTGTTATCAATTTTCATATTTTTCTGGACAGTGTTCTGGCACATCATGAACACAATATGTGAAATATGTTACATGTCCTAACATAGTAGTAGGTACAATATCTTATTACTAACATGAAGGATTATAAAGGAAATAAATTATAAACAGATATGGTTTTAAAAAATAATGCTAAATTGGAACTGAAAAAAAGATCCAGTTACAACAAATTTAAAATTCCAAAGGTTTATGCAGAATAGCAAATATTTTCTTTAAATTCTAGCCCTTCCCCGAGTTCAAACGTTTTTAGTGCATACTGGATTTTGAAGAAGAAAAAAATGTTAAAATGTAAATCTCCAGAATAAATGAAGAAATTTTCTGGAACATACCTTGCAAATGAAGGCCAGGCATTGTCAAGGTCATAACCTCTAGCAGCAAGGTCAAACTGGATGTCGTTGAGGTCATACAGAGCACTTATAATATTGTTACGGTCTTCGTGTTGTAACCAGATCGATTTGGGGTGGAACCAGTCACTGAAATCAGAGCATTTCAAAATAAGGTAGGAACAACATGTAACTTAAAGGCCAAGCATAAAATATTTTGAGTTTCCAGTAACCCTACCTATCCTAATTTTCAATGCCTACTCTAAACTTGTTAAGTCAATTTTGAAACAGTAACTGTTAAGGTCAACATCAGTGATCACTCTCCTAAATAAAAATAAATAAAAAATAAAATATTATTTTTACCTACCTCTCCAATATTTTTCAAGCATGTTACAGGAAACCCTTTTTTTTTTTTTGGCCTAATAATGTACTTTAAGAATAGTGGCCTGCACATCAGCTGATATTACCATTTCAGGAAAATTACAAATATATATTACTTTTTTTTTCATTTTAAGTAACAACTAAGTGTAGAGATATTGAAAATGGGATAACCTCGAAACAGCAGCATGACATTTCAGCCACTCACATTATTCTGACAGAATAGAGAAAACCCTAATTCTACAGGAGATCCAAAGAAGTTACCTCTTACAATCATGTAGTGGGTTACAACAGGTTTTTATACTTTTATAATACCCCACCATCATTACCTGGTCACTTTGCCGTTCATTGTACACTGTTGTATGCTGTCTGCCATTCTACCGTGCATGAGACAAAACCTCAGGAACGCTCGTCCCTTACCGACAGATGTCTTGTACTGGAAAAAAGGTCAAATTCAAAACTGAAATATTTAAAATAATTTTCACATTTTTTATGTTGAATTTTATGCACCCATATTTAAACATTTGTTGACTTGGTTTATTTCTTATAAAGCCATCTTAAATTTATCAGGAAACAGCTGCGCTCTTTTCCATCTGATTGTCTTGACCTCCGTCTGATCTAAACTTGTATAACAGAAGATGTTTATGCTTAAATTAAAATTTGTTTATAAAAATGTTGGCGTTTACACATTCTACCACTTTTATGATGTAACTATATTTTCACTAGTTAATAACCTTGTATGTACAATCCTCTTCCAAAAGCCTCCCCCTCTGAGATAAAGACCAATTACTCCTCATTGGTACCCCTCATTGGTACCCCTAATGGTCTACGTTTTTAGTAACACTGACGTTGACCTTAAAAAACTTTGTAAACCCCTATTGTAGATGGACAGACACCATGATTACTAGATAGAGCACCTGCATGCAGGCCCCTGAAAATGCTGAACAATTCTTCGTTTTTGCCAAAAGATTATTAAGATGTATTTCACCTATTATTGTTATCAATGCTGACACACTTACATCTCCAATCGTCTTGACATACTTGAGTCCATCGTTGACCCCCTTTGTGGAGCCGATGCTGTCGCAAAAATAATCCCAGTAGTCCTTCTTTCTCCCCAGTAGTGTTAGCTTATCTGTAAATAAGGCCAAGAATAGAATACAAGCAAACCAGTTGATGCAGCCATATCCAAACAACCACTTTGTTCAGCAATTTAAAGAATAAAATATGAACTGCAATAACCCGCATTAAGAAATGAGTTTGGCAGTACTTAATTTGTCCATGACCTTGATTCTTAAAGTTAAATTTCATCATACTTCAGTAAGGTTTCCTCATCCTATAATTTCTGGTAAAAAAATAATGATAATAAAAAAAAAATCTGCTTCTCTATCATTCTTTATATATATTGCAAAGTTGAAACAGATTTTAAATACTGCGACCAATGCTTAAAGTAAAAGGAGCTGAAGAATTTATGAATTGAACAAGAAAGTCATAATTCAATAACTTCTGGCTTATTTTGAACCATCCCAGTCACTGCACTGTTCATTCTTTCATTTTCATTTCAATATTAATGAAAATAGTGTCGTGTCTAGATTTTTTTTAAGTTTAATTACATTCCTATTACAAGTACTATTTTGTTTGGATTTAAAAAAAAAAAACAAAAAACAATATAATATCTATATTCTTCCAGGTGATTATTTTCTAACATTTTATTGTTTATGAATTGCTCCCGTAGGAGCGTTCAAAAATTGCACTTGCGGCCATATTTCAGGCCACAGTGCGGGGTATTGGGTATAGTTTTCAACTAGCAATAACCACGTCTCGGAAAATCCTCATCGACTATGGTACCGCCACTGCGCAAAGCTACCGACCAATTGTACATCTCGTGTATATATCAAAATTTTAGGGGATTATTATGCGGTAACTAATAAAAGTTCATGCGTCCATTTTAATATTTGTTTTTCGTTCATATTCATATATAATAATATAGGAATGTTTGAAAGCACATTTTGAATATTTTTACATCTCCAAATTATCATTTCATTCGTAAATATAGTTTTAATTTAAAAAATAGAAGCATTCTTCTTCAAATTGAAATTAGGGGGAGCAACTCTTACACACAAAACGTAACGTAAGATGGACGTTGAAAGACGTACCTGTGCCGTTTTATCTACACTACAGTATACACTACCATGTGTACTCATCTATTGTTGTAATATTTCTACGATAATACTAGCAATGATGACTTAGAAACTTAGGTCTGAATGAATTGAAATATATAAACGTAAGGTCTGATTTTAGTTTATGACACAATGTTTTCTGAAAAGGGGTCATTTTCTAGGACAATTCTATTTTTTGACAGACCAGGCTAGTAGGCCTAGATACCAGTGATTGTTTGGGTAACTTAGTTCGACACAACTACAAAGCTGTTAATTAGAAAATTAATTAAGACATCAAGGGGATTGACATTAAATCAGAGACATATATAAAGTACAGGGACGTATACTGAATGGACCTGTCCCTGGTATTTACGTCTCTGATAAGGGATGTGTACACATCCCTGCTCTGATTAAATGAATTAACCAAAATTTCAGAATGTTTAGAATGCTTAAGTTATCCGTTTTCAGTTTTCAGTTTTATCACGGACTTAGATAACTAATCTAATTCCGTGGTTTTATTAATAACTGTTTAAAATTCATTAAGAAAGATATGCCCTTCATTGATATTGCTGGATGTTTATGAGTTTTCCATTTAACTTTAATTTATTTGTTTCTTTGAAATTTTCAATTCAGAATTTGAAGATTGTTTTTTGAAATGATCGAAAAAGAAAATCCATTTTTTTATTATTGTTTTTTTTTTCAAATTATTCAATATCAAGTGTCCCTATGTATTGGATCCGGTAAAGAGGAGCTCCCACCCTTCATATTTGCTTGTAGAAGATATTCCAGTTTAGCACAGAACCGGTGAAGTGTCTGGTTGTCGTCAGTAATAGGTTGGTTGTTGGCCTCAAAGTCCGACTTCAGGTCCTTCATACAGTCTAGATAAGAAAGAAAAGTCACTTTTAACTAATAATTCTATTTAGCCTGAGTATCTCTAGCGTGCAGGGCCCCAAACCAGACATTTAACGGTCAAAATGTCATATACATTAACATATATATAAATGGATAAGATAACAGGCTAGGCCTATATCAATCTTCTCTGGATGGTGTTAATATGACATAATATATATATATATATATATATATATATAATTATTAAGCTATTTATATTATTGTATTATACTCATACACTCAATCATACATTCATAAAATTGCCAACTTACTCTCTTTTCACGCTCATGTCAATACTCATTCACATTATGATAATATTATCTAAATTGACTAGCATATAGCAACAAATATGATGGAGTTAAGTTAAATACAGATAATAAGTCATTTAATTATATATGCATGCAGAAAAACATATATAATAGTTTAATGATATTTTAACACTTAACTACATCATCCTAACTGTTTAGATGCAATAATATACTTTTCAACATTAGACAATATAAATATATTTATTTCAGTAGGTAAGTCAGTATTTCCAGATGTCAAAAGATGAACATTTAAATAGCAAACTCTGGTATAGACATCATGAATTAAGTGTCTGGAATTAGAGTAATTTGGACAAAAGAAGAAGAAGTGTTCAGAATTTTCAATTGGATGGCTGCATGAACAGGAAGAATCAGGAGATAGATGGTCAGCAAATTTATCATAATTTAAGTCACTGGCATTATTTCTAAGTTGGCAGAGGATAACATTTAACTTTCTAGGGCTACAATTTAGAAAAACAGGTGTAATATTTACAAGAGGGATTCTTTCATTATTCAATTTGGATTTGAAAATATGTAACGATGGTGCTGAGATTGTTTCCGGATCAAGAGAGTTCCATATTCTCATGACATCTAGAAAAAAACTATTACCAAATAAATTAGATATAAAGCGAGGAATATTAAAAAATCTGTACTGCCTAAGATTATGAGGTGGAACAGCATCATTCATTTAAGGTTTAACAATGTCATAGAAATATTCAGGTGTCATATGATTAAAGATTGTAAACATCAAAATAAGTCTATGTTTATGACACCTAGGGTGAGCAGTTCAAAACCAGTTTCAGTATATAGTTTCTGATGTGATGTTCCACTTCCTAATCCAGTTATTATTTTCATGGCCTCAATTTGTACAGATTCTAATAATTTAGCTCCACCAATAGTACAATTGTTCCAAGCAACATCTGCATACTTAAGAATAGGTCTTACATAAGAACAATACAGTGTAATTAAAGCATTTCTGTCGGCTTTGTATTGGAGTGTTCGTAAAATATTCAATCTTTTTTTGCATGCTTTTTCATAGATTTCTTGGACGTGATTACTCCATGAACCTTTGGAATTGAATAAAAGTGTTTATGATTAGTTATTTCATTTACTATTTGACTGTCAAAGAGAAGTGGAGGATGATAACAGGTGTTTTTTTGTAACAGTTCATGCAACAGTTTTATCTGGATTAAATTTAATTTTCCATTGGTTAGCCCAATTACTAATAGAGTCCAGATCTTCATTCAGATCCATGCATGGAGCAACCACATCTTCATTAACAATTACATGTAATGACGCATCATCTGCAAATAATTTAATATGATTCTGAATTTCATTTGTTGTATCATTAATGAGAAGTAAGAAAAGAAAGGGGCCAAGTGTAGACCCTTGAAGAACACCGGCAGTAATATTTTTGAAACTAGAAGAATATCCTTCATAAATCACTCGTTGTTTCCTATCAAACAGATAATTTTCAAACCAGTTATACAGGTTACCCTTAATTCCATATTTCTTAAGTTTATACAATAAAACTTTATGCCATACTCTGTCAAAGGCCTAACTGACGTCACAAAATACAAGCCTAATGTCTTTTCCTTCATCAAGATTTTTTGAGATAATATTATACAGGGATAGTAATTGGTTAACTGTTGAATCACCACGTTGAAATCCAAATTGATGTTCACTTATTATATGATGTTTAGTAACATGACGAAATACATACTTAAAGATATTTTTTTCTAGAATTTGAATAATACAAGAAGTTATGGCAATAGACCTATAGTTACTAGTATCTTCCATTCCTCTTTACCTTTATATAGTGCATTTATATTAGACAATTTCCATGTTAAGGGTATCTTTCCAAGAGTAATAGTTTTTGGAAACAATATTTTTAGTGGTAACACAAGGGAGGGTAGGAGATTATTTTTTACAATAATGGGTGACAGAGTATCAAGTCCAGCTGGTTTATTGACTTTGATAATTGATATTTGATCCCTAACATCTTTTTCTGTAATGTTATATTATTAAAATCAAGATGACTAAGGGGAGGTAATTCTGTATCTAAAGTGTTAGTACTATCATCAATATAGTTAGAAATAGAAGCAAAAAAATTTAATTGCTTCAGCTTTGTCAATAGGATGAATCATACGTTTTCCACCAACTCGTAGGGGATGAGAGACATTAGTAAAGTTAGACATGTTACTTATTGATTTAGCTATATGCCACCACTTACCTGGAGGTACTGTCTTATCTGATAAGGAATTCTGTAATTTCTGAAGGTAATCATCTTTTGATTTTCTGATAAAGTCAATGATTTCATTATACGTTTAATTCTAAATTTGAGCCAGTCACTATCCTTATTAGTATTTTTTGCTTTTCTATGTAATCTGGGTTTTTTTCTCAAATTAGACCTTATTAAATTTGTCATCCAGAGTTTATCATTCGGACAGATTCTAATTGTTGTGAATGTCAGTCAGTGTTTTTATTTTATCCATAATTAAATTATTTATTTCATCAACATCATTATTTTCACCTATAATTGATTCCCAGTCCTCAAATATAAGACTTTCATTAATTAAATCCCATCTGGCTTCCTTAAATTTGTAAATGGTTTTCTTGAACGATCTCTCTTTGATAACATTAAAACTTAAGTTTAAAACAATTGGACAATGATCACTACATAATGGAGCCAACACTTCTGTACTCTGTACAATGTTCAAATTATTAACATAAAATATCTATATAGGATAAGGTTGTATTGGTAATTCGTGTAGGGGATTGAACAACATTATTTAGGTGATATTTGGTAAGAGTTCTAGCAAGATGAGAGTTAGGATGTAGAGTAAGCATATCTTGATTGATATCACCTGTGATAACTAGATTAGAATTTTAATTAATTAGGTTGTCAACAAGATCATCAAACATTTGCCAATAATCAACACGAGAGTCAGGAGGTCTATAAATACAGCATAATAGAAAACATTTGTTTAAAGTTCCGATTTATAAAACTATGTTTTCTAGCTCTTTGTGTTTTGAGGATTCTGATACTTTTCATGATTGTGCAGTAAATTCAATTTACCCAAGACGTCTTCTAAGGTCTTGCGGCTGTTTAGCTGGAATGCGTTGACAACATGTGGCGAGTTCCCTGGAGAGGAGGCAGTGGCCCCAGGGGTGGCCCCTCCCTGGGGAGACTGGGTACTACCACGTGCCCTCTTCAAGAAAGGCACAGAAGTGGTCATTTTACTTAGATTTGTCTGATATATACTGACCATTCCATCAAACCGTTACCTCATTTTGATTAAAAACATTGAAGAAGCGAATCTGAAAAAAAAGTGAAATAAAATATTTCAAAATCAACAATTTAGCCGAGTGTCACTGAATCCCAATCACCTAAAGTAAAGTTTAAGTGGTGCTATATCAATTGTCGATTTTTTTTTTAAAAACTGAAACGTTTCACCGCACTTAACTTTACGTTTTAATACAAAGTTACATAGGTTTAGATCTATGAATACATAGATACTCAATGTAAATTTGATTTTAATCGAAGTTCAAAGATGATGAATTTGTCAAAAAGAAACATATAGCCCGGACAAGAAATTATAAGAACAAGACCTGTACCAACCCAAGATGTCTCTCTTCACTTGAAGGAGATCGAGACATGATTAAATTTGAAAACAGTTTTTACTTCAGAGCCTTTTACTTCAAAGCTTTTATTAAAAATCTCATTATAGAGGATAACGCAAGAATTTTATGACTTAAAATTACTTCTCTTTACAAGGTATTCATGATCACCTTTCATTTTGATAATGTGAATCCACAATTCATGAATAGCAATATAAGTGTGTAGACAACCTATGAAATTTATTTTATTAATATTCCCTGTTCTGTAGAAAACTCTGGATTAGATTCCAAAGTTACAATGAAGCATACAGGTAGTATTCGACTGTGAAAACTACAAAGCCCTATTGGAATGTTCAAACATGAATGGTACTTTTTATGCTTCAAAGTGATGAAAAACAACATCCGATGTTTTTTAAGTATAATTACATTTGTATGTCAAAATAACAGGTACCAATGTATGGACAAAACAAGTGTACATAAATTAGACCATTTATTCATAATCAAGCCAATGAAATGTAAATTGCAGGTAAAATTCAGCATCCGCAACAAGCTTTCAGTAATTAAAGCAACCCTAGTTGCATCATTGTCGCAAGTATAATCCATGTAGTATTGTTTAATTTCCATGTAGCACTTATGTCAAGATATGGACTGGGAAAATCTTGTGTTATATGAGGGAATATTGAAGCATAAAATGAAGGTTGAATTCAGCATCTGCAACTATAGAGTGAATTAGAGTGTGTTTCACATTAGTCACCTTTCATAAAGCCATGACTTAATTAGGTTGTAGGTTGGTATTCATGGTAAGTATATACAACTGACGGTTATTGTAGCATCTCAAATTAGCAGCTGGAGCCATCAATCCTGTGACATATAAAAAATCACTGACAGACCTTGTGTCAAGTCTGATCCAAATGTTGTGAATACCTGCATCAGATTTCAATTGTATACAGGATTACGGTCGCCTTTTAGCGTCTTGCTTCGGGGAATTTCTCTTCAGCACAGACAGTTAGGTGGCAGACTGGGAAGTTAAAGGTCACTGGTTCAATTCTTAGTAGAAGCACATATTCTTTTCACTAACACCTTTCTTTTACAAACTAGAACAATGAGTACTCCCTCGAACGTGGGTTGCTCAACTGAGACACCATTATAATAGTGAACCACTATATATCAAGGCAGATGTCTTTCAGTATTGGCAAGATTTAACACTAAAATAAAAATGATGTTGAACTGCGGCCAAACCTCATGTAACTATCAGAATTACGTCAAAATAAAAAACATACTTTTACATTTTTGGTTTAAATCTTACCAATGTTGCAGAAACTTCATGTGGTCAAATCGGACTTCATAGTACTTATCAGTTATTAATATATCTTTTGGCCATGGCATATGATGCATTCTGCATCAGATCGAGTTTCTTTATGTCCAAACACAAGATTCTAGACATTTTGACAGATCGATGTCTGCCAGACCGAAATGTCTGGAGGGTTGGGCACAGAGGAAACTCTAAATCAATTAAATCAGAAACATTTTTACCGAACATTAAATAAGTCATGTTGACATTATCAAATGTTAAACACGTTATATAATCATTTTAGAGAGGTGCAATCGATACCCGGGCCACCGTGACGTTGATGACAAGCGGAGCAAGAACTGACAGTTTTTCAGACAAGACATTACGCCCACTTTCACATCCAACTCCAAGCTATGCTGCGAACAATCGCCTCTACATATATATACAACAACCGTTATATTGAAATGGGTGAATATTTAGTTATCCGTCCACAAAAGCCTATTATTGATCAGCCTAATTGACAGACTTACAAAGTGTTATTTACAAGGTGAATCCGTCTTGTCGAAATTTTGTTGTTTTGGTCGAGTACTATTTCTTCCTCAGCAATGAGAAGAGTCATCCAAAGGGAGGTAACAGTTTCGCGTGACATTTTGACGCCTCCTCAGTCAGTCACAGAAGATATAATCATAATATAAGCACGGACTTAGATAACAATAATAATCTAATTCCGCGATATAAGTAAGCGTTTAAAGTGCGATTTTTGCCATGTATCGAGGATGATTTTGACAATGCCTTAAGTTAGCTTTCTAGAATCACTGACTTGTATCACGGACTTAGATAATCTAATTCCGTGCTTGTATCAAACCGTGGAATATGGACATTTCGATGGGTTTTTTAATGACCATTGAAACATTTAATTTGGTTAATAAAAAAATGAACAGTGTCTAGATGTATAAAACCAGATACATGAAATGGATTTAAGCGTCCACATTTCTTCTTGTTCTTCTACTACTTCTTCGTCAATAAAAAAAAGAACCCCCGTCTTATACTTTATCTTACAAACTTCTTTTCTACTATAAACATATTTTATACTTTAGATGGACGTATTCAATTATTCCGACACTCTTTTTAAATCAGCTTATTCGACATACATACATGTATCTATATGAGCCCCTCAGTGCTCGAGCTCATCTCGATTCCTGCTGCGGCGTATCCAGATATGGCTTCATTTCCCTGCCACTTGAACAAATTGCTCCCTCCGTACGTCCAATATTTCGGAGTTTTCCTTGTCAGAATTGATATGAGCCCCTCATCTCGATTCAGAACTGTCCTACTGCGGCGTATCTAGATGGCTTCCTTTACATATGCCGCTGGAAAAGATTGCTCTCTCTCTCTCTGTCCAAGAGTTATCCCAGTCAATAACATGACTGTGATTGCCGATTCCTCTCTGATCGGGCGACTTCCTATTCCTCTTGGGTTTATCCGTATCCATCCGATTTTCACTAAGTTGGACTCGAAATTGCCTCCCACTTTCTCCGATATACGATGTGTTCTCGCATACGATTTTGTACACGCAGTCTGCGACGTTTTCCTGCGGGTTTTAATCATTAAAATTTACAAGGATATTGTGGAGCGTCTTGGACAGTTCTGAATCGAAACGAGGGGCCATAGACTCAGGCTGTCGCACCAACTTATATGCTGAGGAGTTAAACAAAACCAGAGACGTATAAAGCGTTATAAAGTGTTATATACGTCTCTGACAAAACGTAGCCGAGTGAATTTGTCGATATGATAGCCAATTCGTACATGTACAACAAAAATTAAGTGTACATACTCTTGTTACATGTTAGTCCTAACTCGTACATATTTTACACCTTTGTATACACACGTTTCACTGGTCTTTTGTCTGACGAAGGTGATAGAGCAGTGGCGAATCCAGGGTTTTTCTGGGGGCTTCAGCCCCCGAACATTTTCTTTAAAAAAATCATGTATTTTCACCATTTTTCTCAATTTCCCCACACAAGGTGATGGCGTTTGTAAAGGTTCCACGCAGAAAAGCTATTTATACTCAAATGTCCGTTACCATAACGTTTCTAATGCTAAATTTCTTTTTCTGTAAACTCTGGAATCATGACTTTTGCACATGTATTACCTCCCTTTGCATATTTTTTTTATCGCTTTTGTTTTCAATATTTTATTCATCATCTTTTTTAAAACAAAATCATTATATTAATTTTAAATAAATAATTCATAAATTATAACTTGGTTCTGATATCATTATATGAAAAGGCTATATTGAATTGATTGAAATTATAATGCTAATTAACGCAACAAAATCTTAAGCCTATTGATTTGTTTAAATGTTTAAGAATCACCTTCAGCAGTTGACAGACGAACAGACGGGCGGATTTATACGTAGGAAGTATATCCCCCGCTTATATAAACCAATTTTTAACCCTCTTGCTAGAGGTGATGATGAGCAATTTCAATTTGAATATCAATTTAGAATATCAGCATTCGGCGATGTGAAATTCAACATCGTTGATGCACGGAGGAGAATTTAGATTTTTTTAGATACTTAATATTTAGTTGAAATTATCAGCTTCTTAACTCCAAGTTTCGAGAAAATAACTTATAAATTATTTATAAAATATAATTTGCTTCTGATATCATTGTATGAAAAGGCTATATTGAATTGATTGAAATTTTAATGATAATCAACGCTAGCAACTCTTAAGCGTATTAATTTGTTTAAATTTGTAAGAATCCTATTACCAATTGATAGACGATTGTTTTGTATTGTATTGTTTATTCAACTTGAAGCCTTACGGCTCATAAGCATACACAGCAACGTATGATTGATACATAAGTGTTATGAAATACCAAATAATTATAACATCATAATTGAAGCATAATCTTGTACATTGCATATATATATATATATAGTACCTATAAATGGACAGTATAATTCTTTAAATTATTATAAAGTACAAGATAAATAAATTATCGGAAGATGGACAGCTCTTGTAAAGTTACAGACGAATAGACGCGCGGATTTATGCGTAGGAAGTATAATACCCCCGCTTGTATGTAAACCTAATTGTTTCATCGTCTTACGAGAGGAGAAAATGAGTAATATGACGATTAGCGCCGCTGCATGCGAAGTGCGCTCTGTGAATTAGACAGCGGTAGGCGCATCCTCGATATTCTAGGGGTTACGCTCACTTTCGCTCTCTCCACCGTCGAAAAAGATCATAGTTAAATTGAAAAGCTCAATGTGCGCTATACCTTGTGGGTGAAAATAAACATCGGTCGCGTAACGGTAAAATTAACAGGCTTTGAAGTAGGGCGACGCTCAAGTTCAAATATTATATTTCTGTCTCGCCTCTTGTAACATATAGTATTAAATCAACTGAAACAATTCAGTTTATCAGTTCAACTACATACATAATAAAGAGCCACTCATTTGATATTGAGTTATGAACAATTTCTAATAAACTATACTATGATGGGACCTTCTGTTTCATCACCTCATCATTACTACCATACCATTCACACATATCGTCACTGGTATTACAATGTCACCACTAGATACATACTTATAGAAAAACCAGCACACGATTGAGATTGGCTCTATTTTTATAGAGATACTTGAAAAATATTTATACAGTCTTTAGGAAGTTGAAATCCAAAGACTTATACAATCTCCATGTACATTGTGGCTATATGACATTTAAAATTTGAACATAATTACACAAATTTTTCATACCTATTGTTGCATATAATAGCATATATTAATAGTACAGTACAGTACGATATAGATATATAACCTTATCAATATATACAATTCCGACTCCTTTTTAACATTTCTGAGCAGGTTTGGGCTTCTCTGTAATCTTCAAAGGACAGGACTCAGCTTAGGGATGGGTTACGTTTTTATTACCAGATAAACAGGAATGCTCTTTCATTGGGTTAACTGATCCTCTGTTTAGAGGATATTAAAAATTTAAAAATAGAATGAGCGATCGTAAAATTTAAACCACTATATGGCAAAAATAATACCGCCCGTCCGTTTCGTCCGTTGCAGAAGTTGGTTGATTTTCGTTTGATAAACAAATACCTAAAATTTTGTTATATTTTACTTAAATTAACATTTAATTTAAAATTTAATTTAGACAGGACTTTTAAATAATATATATATTAAATCATGAATATTTTCTTAAATGATTAATTTGTAATAAATTAATTAATTATTATTAAGACTTGGTTAGTAAAACGTCCGAGGAAAATTCAATAAAAATAATTGGTTAAAGGGAGGTAATACAGACGTGTCTCTGTTTGCATGTCATCCTGACTTATCGCAGTAGCTGGGGATATTGACGATGTCATTCTTTTCTTTTAACAGTACAAAAGTTTCATGATGTTTGAAATAACGAAGTTATTACATCTATTCGTATTCCTTGATTAAATAAAGTGATTCTGTTTGAAGGGGAAACTGCAATATCACACGAAAGACAGGCATGTAAATATACATTGGTTAGCTATTATCCTCTGTTTTAAGGGGATATATAAACGGTAAAGAAAATAAAGAGCGATGGTGAATTAAACCCTATAGGAATAATAATACCCGTCGTCCGTTTCGTCCATTAGTTTTTCCGATTTGTTTTTCGTGTCATTAGCAAAAACGTAAATTTTGGTTATATTTTACTGAAACACTTTATTTACATTAAACTTGGGAAGTAATTATAGATTATATTATATTTCAATATATATATATATTTATTTACTTATTTGTTACACGGACTTAGTTAGCAATGAAGAATATAATTGCGTGTTTGTAATTCATTATCGAATTATTTTTTAAGGCTAATGAGTAAAATCTTTGGATTAAATGCTATAAAAAGTATTAACATGAAGGGATTTTATACAGACGTTGAATACTACTTTCGCCAAAAAACACACCCGATTTTAAATGGCTAGTACACGTACAAGTAACACTCGGTAGGGATTTGCATCGCGTTACATCGAGAAAATACTTCCACCTAATTCCTATCCGTCAAACGGTTGAAATTATATATAGGTACCTTATGGAACGATTGACTCATTTTTTTTATTTGAATGTCATCTGTATTGGAGGATATTAAAAATTGATAAGAGAAAAAAACGAGACTATATAAATACTTCCGCCCGTCTATCTCGTCCGTCCAACGAAAATTGTTGATTTTCGGGAAATACACGAATAGCTTAAGTTTTTGATGTGCTCGATTTTTAAGAAATAATAAATATCGAAGAATATGCGGAAATAGGGAAGGGGGCATGGATTGGTAAGCAGTGGAAACCAGGAACGAATAATATATCAATATACATGTGATCGTTAGATGTTAATTTAATATTGCAATGAGTGTGTGGAACANCCCCCCCCAAAAAAAAAAACAACCTCTGGATCCGCCACTGATGTTATCTAAGTCCGTTGTTATATAAACGATTCATTTTTCAGCAATGCTGTAAATTGACACTCGACGACTGCTAGAAATGTTTATTACACTTGAATTACATATATGCTAAATGTCCAATGAATTAATATTTACAAACTGTTTATGTCACAAA